CAAATCCATTTCATCTTTAATTATATCTTTTCAAAAGATACTATCACGAGAAGCCATAGCTTCTTTATAAGTTTTAAGATCGATTTTCACTTTTAGAACAAAATGAATTATTCTTACAACATTCATCTCATTTTTCTCTACTAAGTAAAAGGAGATAAGTTGAGAATCAATTTTATCTGATCCCAAAAACTTCTCAACTCGAGTTCTCTTACTTCTTCGTGATTCACTAGACTCATCAATGTCTTTAGAAGACATTTCATCACATGTTCCACTTGAGCTAGAGATTTTTTCAACATTTTCCCTCAATTCATTATTCGAAGATAGTGAATCCCTAAAGTACTCTACATCACTAGATTCGATAATCACATTGGTCTCCAAATTTAATAACTTATAAGATTTGCTATTATTAGCATTTCGAACAAAGGCACATTTAATGCCTCTTGATCCCAATTTGGTCCGATTGGGGTTCGTGTTCTTGTAATAAGCAAGACACACCTATACTTTGAAGTATCCAATATTTGGTTTTCTTCCTTTCATAAGGAGAAGCTTTTGTATAATTAGAAAGAATTATATTAAGTATCCTACATGTACTTAATAAAGTTTCACCCCATAAGTTAAATGGCAATTTAACATAAATAAGCATGGTATTAACCATTTCAACTAAAGGTCTATTTTTTCTTTTAGCCAAACCATTTTGTTCGGGTGTCCTAAGTGCAGAATATTGGTGAATTATGTCATGTTGTTCACAAAACAAGTTAAAATCGTTGGAAAAGTGTTCATCACCTCTATCACTCCTTAAAGTTTTAATTTTCGTTCCTAAATGATTTTCAACTTCATTCTTTTATGCCTTAAACATATCAAAGGCCTCACTTTTATACTTCAATAAGTAAACATATGTATATCTAGAAAATTCATCAATAAAGGTGATGAAGTACATATTTCCACCTCTAGTTAACATGCCATTCATTTTGCATATATCAATACGGATTATTTCTAAAATGCTAGAAGCCCTTTTTACACTATGATAAGGCTTTTTAACCATCTTAAATTCTACACATATCTTGCATTTACTTTCATTATATTCATCATATAAAATCAAGTCACAATTTTTCATACTTTTCATAGTACTTCTACCAATATGACCCAATCTAGCACGCCATAATGAAAAAGAATCAACAATATAAGCAATATTAGTTTTATTCATTTCTTTGTCAACGATACAAAGTTTGACCATTCATTCACTAGAATAGCCTTTACCAACAAATTTCTCATTAAGAGAGAGTACAAGTTTACCGGATTCATACACATTTGATACCTGATTTTCCAAAGAGATTACCACTCACTAAGTTCCTATTATATCCAGAACATGTAGTATATTTGCAAGAGTAACAGTTTTCCCGAAAGTAAAGATGATATCAACATTTCATTTTCCAATCACTTTGGACCAAACCTCGTTACCCATTTGAATATCTTGGTCTCCATCCACCTCGGGATATGTTTTGAATAAAGATTTGTCATATGATACATGTGCGGTAGCACAAGTATCATACCATCACCCGAGAACCTTTCACTTGATCGCATTTATGTCACTTACAGTGGCCACAATTTTATCCTCTTGAATGGAATTCACTTTATCCTCGAAATTGTTTTGTTTTCGATGTCTACACTCCTTAGTATAGTGACCGGATTTTTCACAAACAAAACTTCCTCCTTTGATCTTCCTCTTGGACTTATTAATGTTCCTCGAAGTCTTCTTCTTGTTGGATTTTGTAGGCGGTTCAGATTTTTCCATAGCATTAGCCTTGGAAGTTCCATCCAAAGTGTTTTCACTCTTATCTCATAATCTGGATTTTTCCTCAATCCGAAGATACTTTTGCAATTGTTCCAAACAATAATTTTCGAAATTATGCATGATCTTCTTCCGGTATCCTTTCCAAATCCCCGGGAGTTTAGCAATTATAGCCCCCACTTAAAAGGTCTCCAAAATTTCAATTTTCGCCGCCTTTAGTTTGTTGACAATTACTTGCAATTCATGTACTTGGAGAAGTAGATGGATATTATCAAGAAATTTAAGGTCAAAGTACTTTGAAATAAAAAATTTCTTGGTACTTTTTTCTTCCGTTTTGTACTTACTTTCCAAGGATTCCAAATCTCTTTCACCGATTTTGTGTTGGTATATAAATCATACAAGCGATTCAACAGCGCATTGAGTATGTGACCGCGGCAAATCAATTCATTTTCTTGGCCTTTTTGTGTTTCTGCTTTGATTGCTTTGGTCTCTCCATTTGTAGGTTCCAGTAATGGTGCCAAGTCTAGATCAAGGATATAGAAGATCTTCAACACCGTTAAGAGAAACTTTAATTTATCTTGCCACCGCGTGAAATTTGTGCCATCGAACTGATCCAACCGCACCAGGTCTTGGTTCATAAGTTTGATTGTCGTCATTATTGTTTCGCTCTCCATCGTAGAAATATCGTTTGAGATTGTCGGAAACAAAAGAGTTTGGAGAAGAGACAAAAGAAATAACAAAAATTACAGCAACAAGATGAAGAAACTAGAAAGTTGTCAAGAACAGATTCGAAGGCTCGAACGTGAAATCGCTGTCCTCAAACAATAATTGCCCACTCTCAAGATTGAATGAGATGCTTAAGAGTCTTGGTAAACGATTTGTAGAATTGTATAAAGCCTTGTAAAGGATTTAACACTAAAATATAAGTACAATCCTTAATCAATACACCACGAAATGGTGTCAAAATATGATGAAAAGTGACAACTTTTAATCCAAAACGTTTCCAAGTTTCAAATTAAAAAACTAACCAATGGCTATTTTTTAACACTATGCGTACGCATTGTAGAAGCAAATTTGATTCTGTTTTAGCCAAAACACATCTCGTGTACGCACAAAATTAAACAATTAAGCCTATGCGTACGCATAGGCAAAAATCAAAAATTTCATTTTTCAATTTCTTTTGATTCCATTGAATCCAACACTTAGCCCATTATCATTCAATTGATTTTGAAAAAATATTCAACATCTCAGCATTCTTGCGAGCAAATAAGTGCTTTTTCTTCAAGCTTTTATCGATGGATTTTTGGAGAATGAGGAAAAATTAGATGTGGATGGCGACAGAGGCAGTGACCTTGAGGTCTAAGGGGGCGGGTGAGGGCCATGAACATAAAGCTGAGAAAAATGAGTTGCTGAGCTTGAAATCAGCTTTTGGGCCATTCAATTCTATCATCAGATACTATACTAGCGTTCGATGGAGATTCTGATGAAGCTTTCAGGGAGGATCAAGAAGTCAGCAAGATTCTAATTTTTTTATTTTATCAGCAAATACTGAATTGGTTTGCAATTTTGGTGTGGTGGGGGTGAGGTAGCGTTGGGTTCTTTTCTTTTTTTTGAACTCCGATTAGAGTTTTTACAAGATTAGGTATCATGGGTGCTACGAAGTAAATGTTTGGGTCAAGTCTATATAAAAGTGAAAGATTTTGTACTGTGGCTGCAATTTTTCCCTAATTATGATATTTGTAGCTCTGTCTAGTTATATAATGCTACTCCGATATATGATAATTGGCCAAATAAATATTTTCCAATTTTCAAATTTTCATGATAATTAGTAATGCTTATAATTTTTAGTAATAGTAAACTTCAAAAGTCAAAATAAGCCGACCAACCTTCTCTTAGGGCCATTATGCAGGGTTTTTAGAAGGTCAAAATTTACTTTTAAGATTAAAAAATTAAAAGCAGAAGAAAGTTTTTTGCCGAACATGTTGTTAATGAAATCCAAAAAATTATGAGATTTGAATCAATCCATGCTCGGCTTTTAAACCTCTAAATAACTGTACACTCTTTCCTATAGTACAAAATTCTCTACAGGGCAGAATCTAGGATTTTGGTTCGGCAAATGCGAAACATAATTATGTAAAAATAATTGGATTTGGGTTAAAAATTATGGGCTAAAATTATGCGAGCTTTTTTCTTAATGTTTTGGCAAAAACAAACTCTATTATTGTTGCCGATAATTTGATGCTTTCACGAAGTCTTTAATTAATGCATTTATTATTTCAAATTAAATGTCCAACCATAGAAGAGAGGGCCACATTATTATTTTGTTAAAATTAAAATATAATCTCATTTTTTATTTGCACATAGATTCCAATGTTTGACTTTATCGTCGTTTTGATCTGGAGGCTACATGGCTCCACGAAGCCGGCTTCTATTTGAGCCATGAACTAAGACCGGCGGGTCCCTGAAAGGGTGACATAAAGGGAGGGGGTACGTGGCATATTTAAATTGATGACAGCTAATACGAGTTACACACCTTTCTCGAAAATGAAATTTGATGAATTTTTTTGGGTTTCGTCAAAAATCAATTTCTGACTTTTTAGGTCACAACGGGACCATTTTCAAATCGATTGTTAATTTTTTGAGAGTAGCGTTTTTTAATACTGGGCGTATATCATTAGACTATGTAACAATGAAATTCATTGTTTACCATCCATATATTAATTATAGACCGTGAATTCAACTATCAACTAAACAAATAACATTGTCGATATGATCAGGGATGGAGGGAGGGGACATGTCCATTTTGATTTTTTAGGTAAAAAATTAAAATTTTAGGATTTTCTTTTTTAATACATCAGGTTAGTACATACAGTGACGGAGCTAGCACTTGACAAGTCATGTGGTCGTCCGTACTTGTTCCACTGAAATTTTCTTTTTCATATATTGGACGGTTGCTTGACGACCGCTTGAACTCAATGATTGTTTCAGAAATTCGAGTGAGCTAGGACTTATTTTCTTGGCTCCGCCGGATTATGACAATCAACATTTCTTTTATTTTTGTATGGGAGAGATTGAGGAGTTAACATTTAGTGCAGAAAGAAAACGAGGACACGTTGCCTCAAAGGGTAATAGGGACGGCACCGAATTCTTTTGACTTGAACTTGTTCCCTTTAACCCTTATCTTATCTCACCCCTATATATACACCAAGTACAGATCTTACACTTTCTGTCCTCTCACTTACACAAAATAGAACCTGAAAATTGGCTGACCATTCAAATGGGAAGAACACCATGTTGTGCAAAAACTGGGCTCAAGAAAGGTCCATGGACCCCAGAAGAAGATCAGAAACTCATTGATTACGTTCACAAGAATGGTTGTGGAAACTGGAGAATTCTTCCTAAGAATGCTGGTTAGTTTGCTTTTTTGACTATTAGTCTGTTTCGATCGCACCATTCGATTAAATTATTATCTATTATACTGTCCAGTCCAGTTCAATTATATGTTGTTTCTGCAGGACTTCAAAGGTGTGGTAAGAGTTGTCGATTGCGTTGGGCAAACTATCTTAGACCAGATATCAAAAGAGGTAAGTTTTCATCTCTCGAGGAAGAGGCGATTATTCAACTTCACAGGATATTGGGAAACAAGTACGTTATTCTTCCCCTTTTTTTTTGGGTTCTATTTAGTACAATCATAGGTTGAATAATGTTAACGAACATCTTACGTGTTTCTTCTATAACAGGTGGTCAGCAATTGCTGGTCGGCTCCCTGGAAGAACTGATAATGAGATCAAGAACTATTGGAACACACATATAAGAAAAAAGCTTCTTCGAATGGGGATTGATCCAGTAACTCACTATCCTCGACTTGATCTTCTTGAAATTTCTGAATTCTTAAATTCATCCTCACAATTGAATTTCTCAAAGTTTCAGCCATTGGTAAACTCTAATTTGCTTGGTTCAGCCACTTCTCTCTCGTCCCAAAACCAATATTTTTTACAACAAAACAATGTTGTTCTAGAAACTCAACTTTTCGACAATTCCCATGTTCAAAATCAAAATCAAATCCCAACGTTGATCCAACCTTGCCATTTCCAATCACAAAATCATCAAGATTTTCTAGGGTTTAATGGAATGCCATTACCATTTACCTTTCCAGAAGAAAACTATGTACCAGCAGTAACAAACTATGTATATGAATACTATGGGTCGGGTCAATCCATTGTGGATCCTCCTTCATCGGAGACTTCAACTTTCCAATCCGGGTTTTCGAATATGCCAACACCTTCGTCAAGTTCAACTACACTGCATTCAAATTCAACATATATTACTGAAGATATTGAGAGAGAGAGCAACTGCAGCAATATGTTGAATTTCCAAATTTCGGATATTTTGGATGTCAATGAATTTGTGTAACTTGATGCACATTGGTGTGTAAGATTGGACACTATAAATGTGAAGATTTAAGGTTTATTTTTTTTATTTTTATTTTTATTTTTACTAGTATCGAATTGTGTACGACTCAATGCGGGTTCGAAGTTATTAGATTATTATGTAAAATCTTTAGTTAAGGAATTCTTGTAATTTTCTAAAGGTCTTCCCCTGCCAAGAAATTAAGAAACATTTATCTTAATTTTTCTATGTTTCATCTTTCCATTATTGACAAGAATCATAATTTCTTCTGTCAACAGACATAACATCTTAAGTGGTTCTTATTTAATAAATTATGTTGTAGGAATGGTTGCAACTGTCATCTCATCTACAAATTTAAGTTGTTCAAAAAAAAAAAAAAAAGAATTTCATCCTTGCCAAAGAGCAAGAAATTGAGATCAGAAAATTTATAATTTTGGTCTTCAATTGCTATGTTAATGTCACTACAATCAAATAGGGATTTTGTGACGGTGAATAACCGTCACATAAAGCGTCAATTTTTTACAGAAATTTAAGGTCTAGCTGTATGTTAAAAACACTCCAAGATTTACTCAATTAATTTCAATAACAAGTCGATATTTGAATCAAATCATCTAAAAATATAATTAATTTTTAAATTTTATTGTACATGTCTTCAAGAATTGAGGAATGTGTTATTGCCACATGTTGCATTGCCTTCATTTCACGTAAAATAAATTGATATATTGTACTATTTGCATAGCTGTGACAAATAGAAAGGTTTGACTAAAGAGGGTCACGTGTCCAATTACTACTTGAAGAAAAAGGTATAATTAGCATTATTGAAAATTATGGGGGTTAAATCCCTTTGTTGTCCAGGTATGTATCTCCCCCCTATTGGGGGTGCCTACAGATGGTCCAGATTATGGCGTGGCGGGAGATTTTTTTATTTGGCCTATCATTATTCTTTTTCATGGAAAAGTCTATATTGTCCTTAATGAAATGATTTTTTCTATATTGCAACATATATCCTAATCTTTTAAACATTTTATCTTATATTCACTTTATTTTGAATACTTGAATATAATTTCATTATATAATCTAATAAATTGGAATAATCTGCAACATATTGTTCATATTTATTATTTAATATATTATATTTTTCAGAAGATGTATCAAAATTTTCTAATTGAGAATACATATTTTTTATGACGTCTAACATTCTTTCTAATAAATTATTCAATCCTTTAATTGTATATCCTAACATTTATTCATACAAATAATCATCAAATCTTGCAATTAATCCCTTTGATTCTCTAAAATCTAAAAATATTCGTTCTAATTTTATCAAAATTTTAATAGTTTTACCTTAGGTTTGATCTGGATCTTTATTCTTAGAATCGAGGAACCTTTGAACTCTGAATATGTAAATTGCTTCCTTCAATGGCCTCCTGCCTTCACGGAATCTTTACAATTTCAGTTTTTTGATCTCACTGTATTAATCATAAAGAATTAAATTTTAGACTTCTGTTAAAGAAAAACTCTCTTTTTGCTAAAATAAGAAAAAAACTTTCTATTAGATCCTTCAAGAATCGTTGGGAATAAAGATTTAGAAACTCATATTGATATCAAAATATTGAAATTTTATTTCTATCAAAACTTTTTCAAGATTTCTATCTGGTATATAAGGATTTCCAGAAAAATCGATTTTTCAAACTAAAGATAGCTTAGGAGTGGCTATTGATTACAATTCGAGATTTCAAAATGATTTCTATCTATTACAATGCCTCTATTTATACAAGTATATGATAATCTATTACATCATTTAGTACATCAGTAAAGGCACACTTGCCTCTCTATTATTTTTCTTCTTGGGCCTACATCTTCACATGCTTCTTCAACTTTTTTTTATCAAAAGAGCATCTTTTTTTATTATTGTCATTTATCTTCTATGTCTTTACATACAGCTGTATTATTGTCCTTCATATAACTTTGTCAAATATGCTCTATTATTGTGTTCTTCTTTCACATGCAGTTGGGGCACTCCCTTAACTGACAATATTCTTTTATAATGGTAGGATATCCTGAAAATTGATGTATTTTGAATCTTGTAATATAATCCTTCAATATTTCTGATTTTTCATGTCATTGATTTGATACTAGCATCCGGTTTTCATATTGGCACAGGCATGAGAAATTTTTGTCAAACAAATTTTTGGCAACGTTGTATATGACTTTAATTCCAAGTGCTCTTCTATATCTGATCCGTGATTTTGTCACTGTTGAAACTTTTCTATCATTTTCCACCACATCTATTTGGAAGTTGGATGCTACATACCCAATTGATATTATATGTTCAACTGAATAATAAACAATTCCATCGTATTCAGGACTTATTGAGTAAAATTTCAAATATATTCTTTTTCCTTTGATAAATTTGAATAGTTCTTTTATGAATATATCATCAAATTTTGAAATTTTTATCAAATCTTTTACTAGATATATCAAATCCATGAATCCATAATCTGCCATAATTTTTATAATGAAGGGTCTCCTTCTTCCATAACTGTTATTTTGGGATAAACATTATCTCCCGGCGAAATGAAATATGAATAACTCATTTTTATTTCATAAGCAATTCTGACTATTTCAATATATTTTATTTTTTTTTGGATCTAAAGAGATTTTATTTTCTTGGTCTATGATGCTAATTGTTTTGGAATTTCTTTTATCTACATGTATCATCGTTTTTTTGGTTGATGATACTGAAATGGAATTTCCTTTTTTATCAGTTGGTATATGATCACGTCTGAAAAACTTTCTATCTTTTTAGATATATGAGTTTGCAATTTTATTTCTCTTTCATCTATTGATAATCCAAGAAAATCTATCTATTGTTTTTCTATTACAGGTTTCTTGTTAGAGAGTACAATTCATTCTTTTTTACATTCATTTATGAATTGCATTAAATGATTTATATGTTCTACTTTACTGTTAGAACATATTAGTATATCATCTATATAAACAATTAGAAATTTATTAAACTTTTTAAATAAATTATCTATTTTTCTTTGATATATTTGTGGTGCATTTTTAAATCAAAATGGTATTACTAATCATTCATATTTTCCTTGAGGTGTACTATCCTGATTTACAGTCGAGTTTAGAATAATATTGTTTTCTTTTTGTAAGGTTTATTAAAACTTCTTTATTTGGTAAAAAAATATCCATCAAATTTAGTATATTTATTTAATTCTTTATAATTTATAACCATTCTAGTTTTTCCTCTAACTTGTTCAGAATGTTTCATAACCATAAAGGCTGGACTACTATGAGGTACATTGTTAGGTCTAATAAGTTTCTGTTCTAACAATTCTTTTATCTGATTTTTGAATTCTTGTGTATCTTTTATAGTATACATCATTGGCCCGACTCTTATTATAATATTTTCTGTCAATTCTATTTTGGCTTTAGGGTGATTTAGTTTCCAAAATAACAATGAATTTTCTACATAAACTTTTTATAATTGTTCAATAATTTTTTTATACTTATTTCTATTCCCGTTTTCAAAACCTTTTTATACAATATTCTTTTATTTTTTATTTCATTAAATATTATTATTTTTTCTTCCATTTATCACCATGCTGGGCTGATTGAACTCTATAAGGTTTAAATTCTCTTGAAATTTTTAATAAATGTCCACAAGGTGTGTGGAGCATTATCATGTAATTATTTTGCTTATAATATTGAAATTGTTGTATAAAATCATTTCCTAATAATATATCACACTCTAATTTATCATATTTATAAATTTTATTTATTGTAATTTGTTTACTTTCAAGAATTATACTAACTTTATCAACACTATTTATTGTTTGAGTACTTTCTCCTGTAACTCCAGTTATTTTTATATTACTATTATCATTCCATGATTTTATCAAAAAAATATTTAAATATTTTTATATCATTTCCTGTATCTATTAAAACGCAAGTTATTATATTTGTTTCTATAATAGTAATTTGTATATATGCAGACAATGGAAAACTTATCTAATTATTCATTTAGTTCTTTTTACATAGTATAGTTTGTCCATTATGGACTATATATAATCCTTCTCTTTTTATACTATAATTTTCCAATCCATTTAAAAAACTCATTCCTAAAAGTATATGGGGGTTTATATCCATACTTTTATTTATTTAACACGGTACTAAAAGATCTATTCCTCCTATTTTTATTGGTACCTTAACTTCCAATTCTATAATATGTACCTGTCCATCAAAATTTACATATCTATATGGATCAGTTTTATGAGTTATTAATCCTTTATTTTTTATTCAAGCTATATGACATTCACTAACTCCTGTATCTATCAATATATTTGGTCAATTTATATTTTCTCTTCCATTATAATATTTTCCTTCTATTTTCATGTTTCCAGCATTCTTATATAGTTTTATTTCTTTTATATTATTAAATTCTTCTAACTTGTTTTTATTAGATATTTTAAGACTTTTTGATCTTTTAATTAATCTTCCATCTTTAAATGTTATATTATTAGAACATTCTCTTTCATTTAATTATGTTATTTCAGATTTATTTTTTGTTATACAAATTTCATATTCTTCTGGAATTAAACTTATTGTTTATTTGGTTCTATTATTTTGCAAATATCTTTACATTCTTTATGTATTTCAATATAAAGTTTATTGGAATAAATGATTCCATAATTAATTGGTAAATGTTTATAAAGCTCTATACTCTATAGTCATAATTTGATCACCTAGTTGCATGATATCATCTCTATGCAATTTAAAATGCAATCCTAAAATTTCATTAAAGTTTTTATCTTTCAATGATACACAATATTTTGGGAAACATGTAAACATTATTTTTTAATATGCCAAATTTCTTTCTATTATTCCTAAATGACTATATTTTAAGTTTATTATTCTTCCATCATGTAAGGTTATAGTTAATGGTGAGTTTATCATTTCTCTGAATAATGATTTAAACATTATTTGTATTCTTGCTAAATAAATATATTGATTTTTTTTTCACTTTGTTTTTTACTAACATTTGTTAATAATTATTCAACCATATTTTTTGTTAAAATATTTAATTTATGTTGTCCATATGTTGTTCTTACATCTATGAGTTTTTCTATTTTGTAATATTCATTTATTGCTATTCTTTCTCTTTTCCAAATTCTACCTAAAACTTCTCATTTTCCTATTTTTAAATCTAAAGATAATTTTTGTAATCTTCTAAATTTATTGTTATCAAATGTAACTTTTAATCCATATCCTTCTATTCTTTCATATTCTTGTATATTTATATTATTACTTTCTATTTCCTCTATTTCTTTATTCAGATTCTGATTCATCATCCTCATTTCACTTATATAAACTTCTTAATTATAATATTCTTCAATGTCTTATATTTAACTCAATTCTTCTTTTATTTTCAAATATTCTTTTTGTAATATTTTAACTTTCTTTTTATCACAATCAGGACTTATATGACTTATTTCTCCACAATTTCAATATTTACATTGACTTTTATTTTTCTGTTGACCATATGTGATATTTTTTCTTTTATAATATATTCTTCTAGGTTTTATATATTTTTTTATTAAAATTTCTAAAATTTTTAAATTTTTTATTTTTATATTTTCTTTTATTAACCATTCTTTCAGGGTTACATCCTCACTGTATAGGATTTTCCATATCTTCACAACATATTCTAGTTAGTTTTCCTGATTTTTTTCATTAATTGTCTTTGTTGACATATATATGCAAAATTTTCAAATAAAAATTTTATTCTTGAACCTAAGGTTCTAGGTATTCGAACATTATTTCTAACATATTTTTCAAATTCTATTTTAAAATACATTCTTCACGAACTTGGTAATTTATTATAATACATATCTTGGTATACTTCTTGGTTCTCAATACTATAAAACTGAACATAATAATAATTTCTAAATTCACAAATATATTCTTTAATTTTACACATATCACATATTGTTAAATTTATTAATTTAATTATAGCATTGTCTTTTTTTCTTATTTCTTCTTTTTCAGCATTTCTTATCCAAATTTCTTCTAAAAATTCATCTAAAATATATTCTACTAACTTTTATATACCTTGTCTGTCTGATTTTATTATTTCTGTTTGTACATTTCTTTTTATTAATATTTTTGTATCATTACTTATTCCTTCTCACCAATTTCTAATATCTCATTCAAAAGATGCTATTAAGAAATTTATTATTCTTTCATTATTTTCCCATGTGTCATCTTTATTATATAAAAAGAATAATGTCATTGAATCTGCCCAAGTTAATAAGGCTTTTTTAGTATCTATTTTGCAATTTAAATATAATTTTGTTCTTCCATGGTTAATAGGTTTATCATAATTATCATTTAATTCAAATCTGTCTCTATATTTATTTCCTTTAAGTGGTTGTCTATCTTTTACTTTATCATAAAATTGTCTATATAGTTTATTATATATAAGTGTATAACTTCCATCTAAATCTTGTAATTCTTGTTTAGAAGTTCCTATTGAATTAGGTTCTCCTTCAGTATTCATTAAAACTTGGTATTCACTTATATCAGTTAAATTTAATTGATCAAAATTTTCTATAAGTAAGTCTAATTCCTCATTCATCCTTTTCTTCTTTCTCTTCTACTTTAAATTTTCCTAACATTTTTTCTCTAAATTCTTCTTCTTCTAATATTTTTGGTACTATATTTTTCTAAATTCACCATTCATACTTTCTGTTTCTATTATTATACTCTCCTTTTTAATATATTTCTTTCCTATTCGAGTCATTTCTTTTTCTATTAATTTTTTTATCTATTTTTTTTAATTCTCTAATTTCAATTTTTAATATGTTTATATCGTTTCTTGTTTCTCTTACTTCATTTCTTAAATCTTGTATATCATTTATTAACATTTTTATTAATGACTTTAATTCTTCCATATATTCACTTATTGACATATTAAAATCATCTTTCTAATATATAAGTTAATTTACATCTTTTATCTTTTTTTTTTCTATTATTTTCCAAATCTTCCATTGGCTATATCTGGATTTATTAATTCTTCTTTTACTATACTGAAATATTTATTTTCAAGTCTTAATCTTTCACATTTTAATTTTATTAATTGTCTTTTATTTGATAATCTTATTCCTTCTGGTATTAATATTATATCTCGCATTTTTTCTTGTATTTTTTTTTCCATTTTTATAAGTAATTTATTTAATTTTAAATTTGTATTATCACTTGCACTCATACTTCTCTTTGTAATATAAATAATTTCTTCATTTTTATATATATTAATAATTTTTTTATATGTATATATCTCCGTTATTGTTTCGATTATTAATTTTTCTAATATTTGTTCTTTTATTTCTTTGGGTAAATCTTTAACTATTATTAGTGTCATTATTTTTAATTTATTATGAATAGGTTTTAAAAATATATAACTTCCTCTTTCTTCTTCTAATTTATAATAATTATCTATTTCTCTTATTTTAATTTCCAAAATCTCTATGCTTTTATCAAGATGTAAATATAAATATTTGTATTTTATAGTTAATTATTATTTTAAAGATGTATAATCTAAATATTCCTTTAATTTTATAATAATTAATCTATTATTTATTAAATTTATATAAAATCTAAGTGTTAACCTAAATCTAAAGATTTTTATTTTTTTCAGGTAATCTGTTTTTTATGGGTTTCCTCATGATTTTTATGACTTTGATACCAATTAGGGGGCTACTTAGAGCGAACAAAAATCATATAAATAAAAAACTGTCAAAATCCTAGTAATATTTAATTTTAAGGACTAAATTAGAAAATTTCTATATTATAGTGACTTGTTATGTAATATCTAAATGAAGGATATTTTAGGTATGTAAATTGACCAAATGTCATTTTTGAAAAATGGCATTTTCCTATAGGCTATTTTCATGTATTTCCCTGACGTGGCTCCTGTGCTATTTTTTTGTCGTTCAAACATTCAAACATTGGGCGACGTCAGTATCTAGACACGTGGTCTTTCTACTTTAAGGATGTGGTCACCACATACGGAGGGGATTAGCTATTAAGTCAACGCTGTAACCCGATCATAAATGCTCTTATTTTGGTGTAGAGGATGAACCCGGATCCAAAATGGCTGCCTAATGCCCATTGCAATATAGACAAGGGTAACAGGTGACCATATCCATCATACTGACATATTCTTGCCTCTCTATTGACGTATTCGAAACATGACTTGCATCGACTCTTTTATGTCAATTCAAGTATTGTTCTATTACTTTTAATTTTTACGTGAATTCGAGTATCGTCGTGTTACTTTTAATTTTCTACCTTGCAATCTCGGACTCAACTTTTCAAAAAGTAGCGTAAAATTAATTTTATCTCAATCACATTTTCCAGCTTCACGAAAACATGGATTACCATAAAATTTTCAATCTCTAACATGATTTTCACACATTTTTGCTATTTTGGTTAATGCATCGATCAATGTATACAATTATTTCCTTTTTGTTGGCAAAAAAGTTTCTTCTCTGGAAAAAGATAATTCAATGATTAGATTGTATACAATTATTGTTGCAATCTCCAATGGACATCTTTCCTTGTTCCAAGGTAATTTTTTTCCAATTGACTGATTAAAAATAGATGAAGAAAATGTCATTGTCAAATTAAGGTCAAAACATTGTAGCACACTACATGTTAAGGCTAACATATTCAAGTCGGGCTCTAATACCATGTTATGATTCAGATCTAGATGCATTTGTAATAATAATTCCTGCTTATTCAATTGCCTAACTATACATCTAAATATATTCAGAACAAGTGTCTAAAAATAGCCTTGAAAAAATGCCAATGGAACAAAGAAACAAATTGGCAGATATAAGGAAGAATCCTAAGAAATTTTATGTACAACTTTATGATGGCTACAATGCATGTGAGCTCCAAAAATCTTCAGAAATATGTCAAACAAGCTGGCAGATTTTCCAACAATATACCTGTATATTCGCAGCTCCCACTGCACAATGAACTGCATCAAAACTCTACCTCGGACAACAATAATGGCGGAAAATGGGTAGAAAACTGTAGATCATAGTCCATTCCACAATTTGTAAACTTCTTGTTGAAATAATCATCAGAGTTTAGAAGAACTTCGACTCAAAACTATCAACCATATTGTCGCTAGGAATTTGGGCCTCCACATTCCAAAAACTCGACCGGGAGAGATCATAATTTTACTTCAATTACCTCCTCTTAGTCAACAAGCCACTAGACAGCCAGCACAAACGCTTTCACTGCAACACAAATAATGAAATAATAAACGATATTAGTAACACCTCCAGACCTAAGGGAGCAAGACAGACGCGAATTTGATAAAAGAAGAATCAATATCACGTGAGAAGATAAAAATGCATATATTCTAGCTCTTCAATCTGATACTTACAGAAGGAGAAATCCACGTAGGCTGACAGAAAATCACAAGCTACGCAGATTAATCTCTTCCGATGGTGGGTGCTTCCAATTTCATCGAGTCCATCAATCCTGGAGTGTGAATTTAGTAAATGATTTGGGGGATTCATTTGAACTAATATTTCCTCTCCATTCAATAAAGATTCTCAAGCTAATTATGGATGCGCACCAATCATACGACACACACGGACAATAATCATGAACCTGTGAATGGCTAAAGATCTAGAATTCCCTAAAACTTTTGCCACAGCCCACAACTTTTGGGCGACAAATTTCATAAGCAAACTAGTAAAGGAAACACGCAAGAGTTTCTGTGTAGAAGTAAATATCAAGTTCCACACAAACAAATGCAAACAAGAACAAAATTAGAAATGTGCATAAGAGGATTACTTGCTCTAAGTGCACAAGATTGTAGATATCTTCAATTGCTGCGTTGATTCCATGAAGGGTCATCCTTTTTACCTGTAAAAGTCATTTTTCATGGTTTTCCGTATAAAAAAATCGAGAAGGGATATTAAGAACACGGTGCATTACAAAACGTACTTCCAACAATCTTTCTCTTGCTTTGTGCCGCCTAGGAAGTAGGCAGATTTCATCACTAAGTTTAACGCATTGAGTGGCATTTTCAGGTGAGATGAAGTCCAAAACAACACCGACACATGACTGAAAAAGTCCAAAAGCTGGCAACAATAAGGAGTAGCTCAAATCCACTAATTGCAATATTAGATACTAATTCAAGAACCAAATAAAGAGGTAATCTCATAATTGGCAAATGTACTGCACAAATCTAGTGCAATACACCCAAGGCAGAAGGGGCCCCTAACTTGTCTTCTTATTTTTCTACATCCAGAAAAGCCATCCTTTCCCATATACAAATAATTTGTTCTATGAAAAAGTCCTATAACTTTCATTGACCATATTCTAAAATTTGCATCCACCTCCACATAACAAAAGACAGATGCAGCAGGTATACAAAACTATAACACACAACAGACGAATCAGTAAAAATGTTTCGCAGGTCAAATGAAGTTAAATAATAACTATGTTCAGTATAGAACCTTACCTTAAGTTTTTTAATTTGATACGGACATCCTGCAGGAATTATGATAGCTTCTCCAGGTTGTTGCTCAAAGGTCCAAGGTTGAATATCTGAAACCGCCCGTGAAAACTAAGACAATGTTGAAAATCTATGAGTAATCTCAAAGAGAGATACCTATCAACACAACTTACCAAACTCCTCTTTAAGCTTCAATTTGTGAAAAGCATCAAGATAGAAATTCTGATCAAGGATTGGATGAACAACCTATTGCAGATATGCATAAACCAGTATTTAGTTTGATACGTCAGTGTTGTCTAACAAAACTTTTTCTAAAGTAATCATACATGTTTTGAATAGCAAGTATGGCTGAGCTCATTAGAGTGTCGCTTTAGATACTCTAGAAGTTTTGGGACATCTTGTCGACGGAAAATGTCCCATTGGGCACCACAAGAATTGTTTCCTCGCTTATCTTCACTAGAACAAGAGCTTTTTATATCTTCAGCCAGAAAATACTCATCAGTGTCTTCAGATTTTTCAATAGTTCCACAGCAAATTATTGATTCCTCAGAATCAGATTCACTGTCAAGAGACATATTTTCATCTTCAACGCTTAATGTATGGCGCTTGAGTGAATCACTGGAGTGGATTCCATTAGTTAGTTGCATCCTGTCTCCAACAACGGCCGGCAAGCCTAATTCACCAGTACCTTCATTCTGCAAAGATGACTTGCCTTTCTGATCAGTTGAATTGCCTGCTGACTGCTCATGAGGAACTGGAGACTTGCACTTTTTCATTAAACTTTCAATCTTAGTAATCTGTTCTTGGGAGATTGGAATATCTGTTGCATAAGCAAGGATATTAACCTGGATTGAAAAGAAAACAGAATTAGTTATAATATCTCCCAACTTTTAAGACTAATCCTTTATAAAAATGCCCCCCGTGTAAATTCTGAATCATCTATTTCTCTGTTAGTAAACGATAATTGTGATCGTCCAGATGGGTTACAATGAAAAGTTCAGAAAGTTAAAAAGAAAGGAACAAAATCATACTGTATCATGTGATTCATAACATAGTTTTGTCAAAAAATCTGCCTGCATTAGTTCCTCTGGACCTCCATATGAAATATAGATACAAGGACCCAAATCAGTTTTCTGCAATTCCTTAGGCAACTTAACAGCCAAGTTCAGAAGGCCAGACACTGGATTGATGTAATGTGGGAGTGGTAAAGCATGTAAGATCTCGTTATAGTGAGCTGGAAATTGCTTTTGAAATAAACCGGAAGAAAACGAAGCTTTGAATTTTAGCATTTTATGCCGCACACTTGCATGTGTTCTCTTCTCCAGTGATCCCATGAATATCTGCTTCCTCTCAATTTCTACCTGCAAGAACAAATGAAAAAATACATATCAAGGCGCATTTAAGCGAGAACAGGGTGAAAATTAAAAGAAATTAATATATCATCACTCATGAGAAGGTGTAAACAGCCAAAGCTAAAAGAATACTGAAATTAAAGTATCATTAAGAGTATTTCTTTGCCTAGGATCATGACACAACATTGACACGCCGCACACAATTTTTCAAAAATTACTGACTGAGCACGTCTCTAACACGCTTACACAAATAATATTAATTCTTATATTTTATTTTTATGATGTTCTATTTTTTATATTGCAAAATAAATTTATTTATGTTAACTTTGACAGGACGATAATGTATCTCATTATGTATCAGTAATTTATCTCCCACATTGTGGGCATATGTTAACAACATGTCCAATTATAAAAAACCAAAAAAATAATTTTAACACTAATGAATATTTTTGACACCTCGAGGACATGTCGTATCCGACACAATGTATCCCCAATGTGTCAGCAATGTGTCAAGAACTTTCCCAACCGTACAAAATCAAAAAATAATTTGGACACAACATCTGAAAATACATGTCGTATCCGACACAATGTATCCCCAATGTGTCGGCAATGTGTCAAGAACTTTCCCAACCGTACAAAATCAAAAAATAATTTGGACACAACATCATGCATTTTCAGGACGTGTCGGTGTCCTACATGATTTATCTGTGGCGTGTCAGCATTATGTTCAACTGCACAAAACTAAAAAAAAAATTGGACATGCCACTTGAAGCATCGCCAACACTTCGGACACCAACTCGCCAGCGTTGAGAGGGTGTCGGTGCATCTTAGCTCTCTGCAATATCTGAAATTTCACAAATAATAGTACTCCAAAACACATTTGGTGATTTATAAACTTGGAAAGCATACACCCTGGAACAGAAAAAGACATCATATTCATTTCTTAATGTCATCATTAACAATTAGTAAGATGAAGGGATAAACAATGCTTTAGCTGCAGTAATGTATGAATTTTAGAATGTCACTTTTTGATTCATACTAAGTTGCATGTCAATTGCATTGCTCTCATCTATACCGTAACCGAGGTATGCAGCATGGCATTTTGTCTATAATATGATATCAACTATCTCCAAATGTACTTGGCATCATGTGTTTAATAGACATCCGTTCAAATTTAGAATTCTATTCGCAATATTCTTCTGCTTCCCAAGATGTTACATATTGTCGAATTGCTTCGATAGTTGCTTAGTTTATCACTATAGTAGGGAAAGAGATACTAAGACACTGACCTCACACCAATCTGAGCAGTTTGTTGCTTCCACACTATCCTCATTGTAAGCTTTGGAGCTTCTATTTTCAATATAAGAGCAGAACATGGTAAATGGATCCCAACACAAACCTGAGGTGCTCTTAAGTACGTTCTGAACTATAACAGGATGACCCATACCCCAGTGCTTCTGAAAATGCTCAAGGGTTTCTTGACGAAGACCCTGTAGAGTAGGACAATACAAATGGTTATCATTAGAACCTCTTCTGCTAGACACTTCTCGCAGAGTCTTATCCACACCAGCTTTATGGTCAATTCCATTGCAGAGAGAGCAAAACCAAGAAGCATCTGCAATCTCCGGAAAGTGATAGCTGCATAATATTTTTTCAGCTCTAACTTCCAGTTCTCTGGTCCAGGTTGAGGGAAATACACATCTTAAATCAAGAAGGCTATTTCCACAACCTCCAACATCCACGGATGGGCAAGAAACACTGCCATCTGCATTAGCTTCCCAATTTTGCAATGACATGGGAGAAAAAGAGGACATCCCACCAGAACTTTGCATTGAAATCTTATTGTTTATCTTTAACAGCAGTTCATCATCAGATGGACAAGTTTTCTTTTTCTTGCAACTTTTAAGCTTAAATCCTCCACATAAGCTCCCTCGACATAACTCCAAACAACTTAAGCAAATATTATAGGAACATTTTGCGCAGCTTCTGTGATAATCCGCGATGGAAGTTTTGCAGTTGCTGCTCGATGTTTAAATAAACCATGTAAAATAATATTAAAAGAAAGTCAACTTAGGGTCTCATCACATAATCTAAAATTGCGGCGAGATGGAAATTACCAGCAATGTAAATTTTGGAAGCCTAAGTTGGCCTGTGGAATCTGGACTTCATTTCCTGTTAGGTAACATTTTTAAGACTCACTGATTTGACATCAAATAAGGAAACATATTTGCCACACAGTGACTGAGCATGATGTTGGTATACCTGCATGAGCTTCTATCTCTATCTCAGCACTCTGGTCATGGTTAATTTTTTTTAGTACTGGAAGAAGTATATTAATCAGGTAATGAAGTAAGTGATTTCTATCGACCCTCCTTTTACTTCTAGGACATTCCTGGAAGAAGAATTATAAAGAAACAGATGCATCAACGTTCAATGCTTATAAAACAAAATGAAAAAAAACTAAGACATAGCATTTTTCATGTCAAACCTTGTGATTAACAGCCTTGGATTGCTGTTTTTGGCAGATCATACAAGTGCAAGTTCCATGACAGGCAGGACATTTCTCCTTCACTTCTTGCCTCTCAAAATACCTAAATGACATTAAAGTTCTATAACCATCAGCGACCTGTATAATACCTTCCTACTCAGTGTCCAAATTAATAAGCACAAGAAAAGTGTGGAAAACTCAAATGGTCAACTACTACATATTTTAGAAAATGTTCCAAACTCCGTAGTTAATTCATGATAGATCTTTCCTTTAATTCTAACTCTCTTCTTTCTTTCTTTCTTTCCTTCCTTTTTTTTTCTTCTTTCTTTCCTTTTCTTCTTGCTGCAAAGATTAAATTCAAAAGTTCTCCAATTAGTTCTTCCTTCTTTTGTACCATTTTCAACTTTGGTTAACCGTACTATTAATATAATATAAAGATTTAAACATGAAAATAGTATTACAAAGGACTTTATTGCCTCCCTTCTTAATTTCCAGGAATGTAAGAAGCTTCATAGCTCACGACAAAATGGAACCAATAAATTAATTGTTTACGGGGTTAACAAATAGAACTTTGCTAGCCATATGCTACAAATAAGAATGGCTGCTACTAATTATGAGACAATTTACACAATGTTCATAACAGTATCTTTATCTAGTGCATAGATGTGTGGAGCTAGATTGAATCCAGCGGGGTCAATTCACGCCACTGAAACTCACATTTTTCCTTTATACGTTCCTATTGAAATGAAATATTATGAGTCATATAGTGAAAATCTCTAAGACCATCTCCAACCCATTTCACTCAAACGGTGCAACTCTCACACCATCTCATTTAGTCATTTCCAACATCACTCCAAATGAACAGTGTTTACTTTGTTTCCTGTTTTAGTTCTCAACAATTAATTTATTTAATAAAATTATTTAATTATGAATTCTATTACTACTAAAATTACATTTAATTATCAATAAAATTAAATCATTAAGTAATAAAAGGATATAATAGGAATTAAAATTTATTGTAGTATAAAATGAAGCAAAAAATGGAAAACAAGAAAAACTCTATAAATTACACCAAATGAACAGTGTTTCTCCAAATTTCGTGCAACACTATTTATTACGCCAATTTGGTGTCAAGATTTGAAGTTGAGTTGGAGAAGCATTGGGTTGGAGTTGCCCTAAGCCCATGTTTGGCTAATGTGTATAATTGGTCAAACAACTTTTTATTCAAACATTTTGTGGAATCTACAAGTGCTGCTCACTTATCCAACACTTATTTTTTCATAATTATAGTTAAAACTGATTATAAAGAATTCCCAAACATGCAACAAAATCTTTATCAATTCAATAGGTAAAGGTATTTATTACATTAATTTCTATTTTAGTTTTGTGGCATAATTTTGTCCACTCCTTACTAACAAATAGCTTGCAACTATAATCGCTTCTTGAGTCGGCAAATGTTTCAATCAAAATCTTAACAAATCATGCGTAGGAAAAATGACTCCACCAAAAAAGAATTGCCCGACTTCATCTGTGAACATTAGCTGGCATTTTAATAAAATTGCTTTAGTAAGGGTTGAAAACCATATAAAGAGATCAGCATGGTAGCAACAAAGAAAGAAACTTTCATTTGAGAATCAAAAGGGGAACCATTTGCATTCTATTTTTCCAGCTGCGCAGCTGCAAATATTTGAAAATCTGAGTAAATAAGAATATCAAACCTCTCTTTAAGACAATCTGCACAAAAGAACCGTTTCCTGCAACTCAAACACTTGATCATACTCAGTTTATTACTTGCTCTACACCAATGGCATCTCTTTATTTTTCTTTTCTTCACACTCCCTGCGAATGGGACAACCTAGTGGGGAAATCGAAACATTAATATCAGTTCCTTAAATAGATAACAGTTCAAGAAACAAAAATTCCAAAACAAAATTCATATTTTTTTATACAAAGGAGAACCTACATTATATTGACTCCTCTCAGTTAAAAATTAAATAAGCAATTCAAATTCATTTGATGGAAAGTGAGATAACAACCTGCATTGTACCAATTGGAAGTGGTTCAATATTTTTTGATCTGAAATTCCTTTGCGAAAACAAGCTCAAGTTCAAATCCACCCCTAATTTCACATCCAAAACACCATTTTGATTGCTAAATTCCTGCGAGCCCAAAGGCAAATGCGAAATAGCCATGACTCCATTAGGCAACACTCTCATCGTTTCACCAGTTGCAGATTCCTTTAATGCTCTCTCCTTCTTCTTCTCAACTTGCCTCTTCAAGAACACTCTGATCAGTTCCAACTGCAGGTCGCCTTTTCTCAATTTCATCCGCTTCAAAGCCTCATCCAGCGCCTCCGATTGACACCGCTTTCTCTTCTCCACTGACTGTTGCATTTTAGTCAATTTCGAAACACCCCCTTTTTCACAATTCTTCCTCTGCTTTGAATAACTCCGCTCGATTTTAAGCGAGTCTGGCACCTTCTGTTTCTTCTGGCGGTGACGGCCTTGAAGATGGTGAATTTCACATAGCGTTAACCCGTCCAACGCTCGCCTGCTGCACCGCCATTGACGGCCGTCGGTCCTCTTGCATCGCAAATGGTCCGGTGGCAAATCTTTTTCCGGCATTGAAAAAGTTAGCAATTAATTCAAATTCCAGATTCTTTTACGAATTTTTTTTTAAAAATTTTTTTGGTGAGAACGAGAAAGGACTGGGGTTTGTAGGGTTTCAGAATTGTGTGTTTCTATTGAGAGAAAACGAGGAAGTTATAGCGATAAATAAGGAGTCTTTTACTGTATTGGATGCTTCAATTTCAATTTGCCACTTAAAACATATATATAACACCATTTTGTGCATACAAATATCAGATGTGTTTACTATAAATATTGTAAACTCGACCAACTCCACGTGTACCTACTCGTTTTCAATAAATTCTGTCAATCGAAGGTTTTCTCTTCATCTATCAGATTGTGTATGGTGATGAGGTTGATTTGGTATTAAAGTAGTAAGCAATTTCTTGATCTGTTTCGTGATTGGCAGATGAATAGGCTAAGGTATATAATTCCATGACGTCTGAAATTGAAATCATAGTACGAACTGTTCGCTCGAGAAAATCAACAATGAATACCAAAAATCAAGTATTTACATTGAGTTTTACAATGTTGTTGCCTCTATTTGTGCTGTTTTGCCAAATATTTCGAATTCTTCCTAGTTCCTATGTCTGAGATATTACAATTATGTTCATTTAGAAGAAAATCTTGCAACAAGAAAATGAAAATTACGTATAATTTAGTTTATTTTCTTCGCAGAAGCGTTTTGCCTCCAGCATCTTGAAGCAAGATACGTCGAAGAACTTCATTTCGAGGAATGTCCCGCCAAATTTGTGGGTTCTTCAAATTGTGTCCCATTTGTGCAAATTTATCGGCAGCCCTATTGCCTTCCCTATAAATGTGTGTTAAAATACAGTTCCGAATTTCTGGCATCATCAAATTTATATGCTTAACATGCCTCTGTACTTCTACGCATTTTACTGGTTTTTTTCGTGCAATTATGTCGACTAGACTCTTGGAATCTCCTTCAAGCCATACGTCGTTCCAACCATTCTTGAGTACTAACTCAAGGCCTCTTCGAAGAGCAGCCAATTCTGCAATCGTGCTGTTGGAATTTCCGATTGATTCAGCATATCCGAGTAAGAATTCAGCATTATGGTTCCTGAAAATCCCTCCGATGCTTGATTTTCCCGTCTTGCATTTGCAGGATCCGTCATAGTTTAATTTTATCCAACCGATGTCTGGTTTTTCCCATGTCACATTGAACGATTTCTTGCACAAGTTCCTGCATAGAACTCCAAATGGCTTGGGAAGTATTTGTTTACAACAAAATAATCTAGAATTTTGCAACATCATTTTTTCCAACAAAATAACCTAGAAAACGTCTGAGAAAATAAGCATAGTCGACATAAAGCGCAACGAAAAATTAATGTCGATAAACTAGAAACATAAATACATTTCTACCTCAAATAAGAAGAAAACGTCTTCTACAAAAGCAGGAATGCCTTGATGCATTTTGTAAGGAAAAGTTTAAGTGCAAGAAAAGCAAGGTAGTTTTAAGAAGTTCATGGCAACAAGGCAACACTGCATTCCCCGAAATGGCAATTCTCTAACGATAAGTAAAGTTCAGATTTCCGCGATGAAATTGTCTTCTCTGCTAGATGTTCTCATCGATACATTTATAACGAATATGTTATATATAAGTAATTCTCGAAAAATATAACGAAAGGGGTTAGAGGAAAAGAAAGTGGTGAGTGGACTTGTTTCAACATGTCTCAACCACTGACTTTTTAACTGTCAAAATAACAGTCATTTTCATTCCTATGTAAGGTGAATTAACCCGTGAATATTGGAAATTAACTGCCTGTTTATCCGAAACCAATTACCTAAAGATTACTCTAATCAAACGTTTGTGCCTTTTCATGGATTCTACCATGTTTAAAGGCATACCATTCAACAAGTATTCGACTGCTCGATATTCATTCGAAATAACTTAATTTTTTTCCATTTTTTTTTCCTTGGGGAAATTATAAATGTAAAGTTGATGCATGGAAGTTTACAAATACTGAATATATTTACAAATTTATAATATAGTTGATGCATGGAAATTTCTACTGCTAGCAAATAATTGAAAAAAAATTGCCAAGAAGCTAGGATTCGAAGCCGGGATGCGTGGATCTACCGTGCCAGGTCTTTTCCTACTCCTATACTAATAGTTGTAAATTCCTTGAGCTTACTGAGAGTAGTTTTCTCAGCACCTCAAAACTTTCCATTACCAATAAGCCACAACCAATCAAGAGCAACGCCCGAAAAAATGCCTCCAAGGAGAAAAACGACCATCAAATTACCCAATGCATTCTGCTCCGGTGCCTACAAATACAGTTTCCATTCGCATATTAGGCCATACAAAGAAATTATAATGAATATACGCTATTTTATGAGGGTTGAGGTTTCGACTTACTTTGTAACCTTTGGGAGCAGCCGTGAGTACGCATACAGTGAGGTAGCCGTTTGTTAGTCCCAAGAAGGATACGAGAAATATCATCCATCCTTGATCAGCATATTTAGCAGTGAAATAGAAGGCCGGGACAAGCAAGAAACGCGATAGACAAGCAATCACAAGGCCCTTTCGTGATACTATCTTGACGCGTTCAATAAGGGGAATGTATCTCGATATAAGATCCCACACATTGTATACTGCTATTAGGACAATTGAATACCTGAATAGACATAGAGTTTATGATTCTTAATAGCCAAAATACTTATAATATCTGGTTTTTTACCAGCTGCTTTGAATTTCTTGGATGAGACTACTGCCACTAAAAACTAGTAAACATGGTACAGTAAGCTACAACGGCATGTTTGGTGGAGAGGGTTAAATAACATGGAAGAAAAAGTATTTGAATAGGAAAGAGAACTGATATAAGCAAATTTTCCTCGAAGAATAATTGATTAAACCCAAGAAATTAATCTTTTAGGTGCTGAAAAATGGCTAAATATCTTTCCATATTTGTATAAGAGCACTTACCAAGAGCCTAGATGGTGGGATCCAGTGTTTTCGTATAAGAATCCTGGAAAAATTGACAATGTGAGAACATATATCAAGTAGAGATCTAATGCATAATCAGCATTCTGTGATATCAGTTGTTTGTTGCTCAGTCTTTCATCTTTAGCATCAACAGCCTGTAGTGATTAGCAAAATGCAATTCTTAAAAGTCGAAATAATTTTTTTTGAGAATTAAATAACTATCGATAAAGATAAATTAATGTACGCTTTTGCTTTCTGTAGTCAGGATGCCCGCAGCAGCAAGGTCGGATGATACTGTTGTCGATCCTTCTGATGCAGCCTTTGCCCGATAGTACTTCACGATTGGGAGTTTGCCGAATACATACGCGTATAGGAAAATGCATAGAAATTCAAGAGCTGTCGAGATGGCGACAAATAGCACTGCAAAACCATAATAAAGAACACTATTGCGTCTGAATCCAAATAACAATGATCTCATTTCCATAATTAGGATTGGACAATATTGGACAGAAATGAACGAGATAAAGAACTTATAATCTTAGTGTACTATTTAGATGTACCGAATATATGCTAAAAGACTAGCTAACCCACAATTCAAATCCATAATTTTCATCATTTGAATGTTTAACCCGAAGCATTCAATGAATCTGATTATTTAGGGATATCAACGTTGACATTTATGATATTTACGGATACTGACCGACTCCTTTACGAAGTCCGTGATCGGATTTGTCAAAAATAGCTTTTGTCACTAGCCTCAAGCCAGAAGTAAGAGCCCCCGATGCAGCCAAACCAGCAAACATCGACTGCAAGAACAGAAGAGCACAATGGTGGCCCAACTCGATTACTTTCTAGAATAATAATTTTTAAGCAGAGAGAAACAACATGCTTTAGCTACAAATCTTACTTGGATGAACTCGGGACACATGAATGACAAATCACCAACGAGTCCACCTTGAACATGAGCATCTGCAACTCCAAAAGCAGCGACAAAAACGCAAATGCCTATATAATTTCCGATTCCTCCTTTACCTCCTGTGGCTAGATCCAACTGAAACCGTACAAATTTGATTACATCGATGGGGTTTAGACCCAAAAAAATCATTAAATGAATCGTACAAAGTGGCTGATAGCAGAACTTACAACTAGAAGTCCTAAAGTACCAAGGGAAAATAGAATGTATCCGAAGATGTTGCGTATCCTTGTATTAATCTTTGCCTCATTGTAAGCAAGTATTAGCATTGTTCCAACTGCGAATGGCTGATAAATGAGGGTAAGTACCCTCGAAGGATGGTAAAGCTGCAAGAAAAACACACGATTCCAGTCCATTACCGTATGTGTCACCAAAAACGTTCTCTTATGTTGCACCAAACCATTCTGACTCTCAACCATGCTGAAAGCAAGAACCTGAAAAAATTCAGGGCTGATTAACTAAAGAAATAAGATTGCTTACGGGAAATAATGCATAGTAGTAATCTGCTATTGTCATTATACTATTCCATGCCATAAGCGATCCAAGTCCAAGAAACCAGCAAACCAAGGTCGCCTTTCCCTTTCCCTGATATTTGATTCACAAAGGAAAGATTAAATGTTTAAATTACAAGAGCATGTTGTAGCTTTTAAGCACGAGCAAACATGCTGTATCGCGCAAACCTCGAGCCTGGTTGGAGTACTTGGGACGCCGCTTGAATCGACACTAGTCATGGTCGCTCCTCCTCTGAGACAGGAGAAGAAAAATATTATTAAAAAGACAACATTGGACAAAACATAGGAATATAATGGAACAATGCATAATTCCTTATACATAAAAGGTCAATTTTTTAACTAAACCCTGTGTTCCTTTCGCAGAAAGTAAGAAGCACTAACTGGGAATCATAACGAACAAAAAATAATCAGAAATTAACTTTTGAAACGGGTGTATGGAAGAAGAGAGAGACAGAAGTGTTTTCGTCTTATTCAATCTGATAGACGCAGAGTCATGAATTTTTAGCTTTTTACAAGTTAGATGGCTTAATTTCAGCAAAGTTTGTTAAAAACAGTAAATTGTGAAAATCGTCATTAACGTTTACTCTCTTTTGCACTTTTATCCTTAACCTTTATTTTTTGACATTTTTATTTCACAATTAGTAGCCATCGTCCTTGATAATAGTTTTTGTTCGAATTTGTAGTTATTTTTTCGTTTATATAAACTCAAGGGCAAATTTGACATTTCAAGTCGCATTAATGAAAACAGAAAATTTTATTAGGAACGATGGCCACTAATTTATGAAAAGTTGAGGATATGAATGTAAAGAGAGAAGGGTTGAAGATAAAAGTATAAAATGAGGTAAAGGTTGGGATGATGGCCGCAATTTACTCTTTAAAATTTCATTAAATTTTCACCTAATTAGAAACGTTAACCTAAAACCTTAAGAATCACTATTAAATTAAAACTCCAACGCAGATAAAATTAAACTTAAATTTGTTCACTATATATATATATATTCATCCATTAATATTTATTTTCATTAAATTTTCTTGGCTCTTTTTATATTCTTTTAGAACTTGTGTTTAACTAAAATTCTAATATTATAAAATATCCTCTTCCACTAAAAATATAAAAAAAAAAAAAAAAATGTAAATCTAAACATTAAAAAGTTAAAACATCATCATTTCACTACTTGAACTTTATAAAACACCTAAATGGAGGCTTCAACCTCATTACGAGTAATTCTTCTGGTTCCCTTTTTTCTAAATTTTTTTTTTTTTTTGGTGCTTCGAGCAATTGAAAAGAGATTCAACAAGTAAAAGTAAGATGAATTCTTTGGGATCCTTCCTTTCTTCAGAAAATCCAATTTGTGTGTATTGATACTAATTGTTTGGTGATTTTCTTCCACTTTTAACATTTAATTTATATGGACTTATTCTATATACTAACTTTTCACGTACAATAAGAATTAAAAAAAAAAAAAAAATCCTTAATGCAAAAAGATGCAACATTGCACTACTAAAGCCCTATTGATGAAAATGAAAGGAAATCAAGAAAGGATACATGATCTCTATGCTTTTATTCTTGGTTTATTTGGGTTTCCAGGAACCAAGAACAATTATAAGCATATAATCAAGAAAGAAATAGAAAGCATCAGTTAACATTAGTGGTGGGAGAAAATATAGTAACATATACTAAAACTACATCTGGCATTATTTTAAGGTATCATCACATAGGTAGCCAAGCTATAGTAAACACAACATCGTGTCCTTTCCATGTAAGAAGAACTTCTTCCCTCTTTAGTCCCCAACTTTAATCAGATTCTCACCTTTATACAATGTACTCTAGACAGTAAAGAAGCAATTTTGTGGATTTGGTTGGAATAATACACATTGAACATCTTTCTTCAACAGGGTGTTATCTTCTTTTTCTTTTACAATTTGTTTTTCCTTCGTTTAGGAGGTTTTATGAATTCCTCAAGAAACACATTTTGGAAGTCATGTGGAATTTCTGACAGTCATACGTCATGACAAAGTATCCAAATGTATAAACAAAAACATTGTTAATTTTGATTGAAATAAAACTCAATATTACATTCTGACTGGATTAAATTTTAAAGTAAAATTAACAAGTATTCACAAGATAATGCAGCATGATACATCTATGCAACAATCGTGAATTCCCTGAAGAAAAACTCAAAAGGCCATTTAAAATTGGAAAAAATACATATGAAATGATATGTAATGAATTGTGAGAAGGTTGATGTTATATAAAGTGTGATAGATATATAACTTATGTAGATGTAAATAGCGGCCCTCAATCTAAAATCACAAAAGAAAACAAATTGATATTAGTCAATTTTTAGCACGTGAAAATTTCAAACCCATTTGAACTTAACGCCTTTTTGCTTTTATTTTCGAAAATCAGTTTGGCACAACTCGAAACTTTATATTTACTTAACTTCAGTTGGTTGCAATTGAGATTGGAAGTGGGGCTACACTTTTTCCTTGGAGACGAGAGATAATTGAAACACTTGTGGCCCTGCTCAAAGTTGATAGCTCGACTCTTATTTTCCTTTGTCCCCAACCGCAATTTCTAGTTCCCCTAAACCTCGGGTACAAAGATAGGTCAAGGCCGAGCGAATCTCAATTCAGAAGGTTCAATAATTTTATTAAACTTCAATTTATTTTACACAATCACAAATGAACGATTGACTAACATCTCTAAATATATAACATGTTTTATTTTTAGTAGCATCTGAATAAGATGACCCAACATAATATCTGAAAATTGGAGAAACGTAAAATTCACCAAAAAAAAATAAAATCTAATATTCTTCTTTTTCTTGCCATCAGTTCAATCGGATTTCTTTGACCCTTGACTTTTTCTAGGATCAATGTCCCATCCAATCTTCAAAATGTAAAAATTTAGAACCATTTCTAAAAAAGTCACATGGACGGTACCAATATCAATTTCCTTTTCAGGACCTTAATTGTAAATGATAATTGAAGAGGGTGACGCCAATTATTTTCTGCAATTGGACCGACGTTGATTTGCATATTTCTTAGTGGCTGCACGTCATTTTTATTATGGTTTTAATTAATAAATAATGAATATCCAAAAAGTGTTATTGCCGACCACTAACAAAATTGAAAACCTACTCTCGACTGGCACAATAAAAAGGAAAAATTGAGAATAAAAAATGAATTATTCTAATAAGTAATTAGGTATAAAATATTTGTGTTAACCTTTAAAAATGGAAGACATGGTGATGGAGATGACAATCCAACTCAATTATTGAAAACGCCAAATTAAATCAATTAATATTTAATTAATCAGGCAATAAAAAAGGTAAAACTTTAATTTCCTTTTTAAGGAAAAACAACCACATGATGTAAGAATTTTGTATTTGTACACGTTTGTGACGCTACTTATATCACAGCCAAAGCTTTTTAAATATTCTGACATTCTTTACAATTTCGTACGCTAACAATTGTTCCTGCCGCTCCTCCTCCTCCTCTCCACCTCCACTTCCACCACTCCACTCCCTTCTCTGTATATACGTTACACACAATTCTCTATATTCATATGTGTGTATATATTTATTTGACCATATGGGCTTAACTTCTTTTTGTTGTATTTGAAATTGTTTGCAGAATTAATGGCGTCGCTACACCCGGTAACTGAGTTGGATTCCGGCACGGTGGATTCAGTCTCGTCCACGCCTAAGTCAGAGCAGCACCACCTACATGATGACTTCTCCGCCGTGCAGCAACCGCAGGTTCGTTTCATGTGCAGCTTTGGCGGCAAAATCCTCCCCCGACCACACGACAACCAGCTCCGTTATGTAGGCGGCGACACCAGAATCGTAGCCGCCCACCGTCACATAACCTTCTCCTCTTTCCTGTTGAAACTTTCGAAGCTCTCTGGTACAACCAACATAAGCATAAAGTACCAGCTTCCAAGCGAAGACCTGGATTCTCTGATTACAGTTACTACGGATGAGGATGTAGAGAATATGATGGAGGAATATGATCGGCTCAACCAGAATCAGAAAACAGCTCGTCTCAGGCTTTTCCTCTTCTCGACAGATGCTGATTCCAGAGCTTCTAGTATCAGCTCCCTCCTCGATGGCTCGGCTAAGCGGCAAAACTGGTTTTTAGATGCTCTCAATGGAGGCTCGGGTCCGGTTCTGGAACGTGGGAGGTCCGAAGTCTCATCAATTGTATCTGAAGTTCCGGATTATTTATTTGGGTTGGATAACAATTCGGATGATGCTATAAGAGACTCCAAATTAAGGAACAAGAACCTTATGAACGACAATGTATCGTTTTCGGATCCGGGTTCACCAGCTCCGGTTGTTTCTTCGCCGTTTTGCTCCACCTCATCATCTCTGGCACCACCTAGCACGCCTGGGATTCCAGATCTTCCGCCGGTGAGAACGAAACCTGTTAACCCAAACCCGCTTCCAGTTGAGCCCAGGGAAAGTCAAGCCATTGAGGGTGTGGCTGAGGTGGTAACTGACAAAATGGGTCCTCCAATATCCGGGTACGCGGGTGCTCCGATATGGCACTGCCCGGGTCAAACCGTGCAACATGTACCTGCTGTGTATTACGTTCCGGGACCTGCTCCACAACTCGGAAGTAATCCGTTTCCACCTGTTCCAATCCGAACTCAGTATATTCAACAATTCCCTCTTGCTCCAGGTCAAGTACCAGTCGTGTATCCTCAATCTCAAACCGTACCCGGTGTCAATCAAGTTTATGGTGCTGGAGTGATGCAATATGAAATGCCTACACGGGTCATGCCAGAAACTGCAAACCAAACACTGTATTATGGAACCCCCCGAAATGCTGCGGCTGCAATACCGGGTTCTTATCCGGGTATGGTGGTTTCGGGTGGGGAAGAAATGCAGGGATCAGGAATAGAAGTTGCTCGGGTCTCTCATGGATCTTGAATATTTGGTTATATAATTATAGTTGATTTTTGCGCTTTCATTGATTATTGAAGCCTATTATGCATTGTATGTCTGTTTTTGTAACTGTAAGAATTGGATTTGGGAATGGTTTTAGGAAAATATTTAAAATATTTCTTGTTTGTTGAAAATTGATAACAAGAGTTAACTCTTCTTGTATTTCTAGTTTGTATGATTATTGATAGTGACATTTCCAGCAGCCCGATCACAAAATTATCCCGATGACTATTTTCGATGAACTTATATCTCCAACTATGGAGTCCTCGAGCATGTGGCCTGGCTGCTTTGCATATTGCAATACTTGTCCTCGAGTATCAGCAGTGCTCGAGCATATGCTCCCCTCACAACCTACGATTGTTGACCCTTTAGAATTCCTACGCAATTAGGATTCTAACTCAACCATATATATGACTCCTGCAAGGATTCTATCCCACATATAATTATGGAATTTGACCAACTCCTTAACTATTCAGGACTCCAACAGATAAGGACATCCAGCTAGTTGAGTCCCACTAGGAGAATGTCACTTACTACTATAAATATAGAACCTTGAGCCATTATTCAGGTACGTTTTTCATTATTCTCTAATAAATAGTCTCACGCATATAATTCCCTTTCTGACTTAAGTATCAGAGGGGTGACGAGAACACACCTCGTTGCCTTTGTTTCAGGTATCGGAAGACTACGATCGTGATCAACCTGAATCATCTTGGCGCCGTCTGTGGGAATCGCTACCAAAAGCCATGGTTAACACGTGAGTAGGTCTTCCTCCTGCAAGCTCATCCGCTCCCATCCCTCATCCTGCCGAAGATCAACCGACTCCTCATGAAGAATCCTCGGGAGTGCCCACACCTCTGCCAGCAGTCATTACAATCGAAGCCTTTGAAGAGCTTCGTCAGCAGGTGGCCACGCTCACGCAACTTTTAAGTCAAAGAAATTCACATCCGTTGCCAGCGCAGGCGGAGCATGGCGGTTTTATGGCCAATGCTCGAGCACGACCACCAAACCCAGCAAATGGCGGAGTTGGAACATCGAGCATTCATAATATGGCCTCGGGCTCGAGATCGGTCGCCATAGATTCCGGTGAAATTGCCCGGATCATTCAAGAAGGAATTACAGCTAGCCTGCAACGTAATGCTCGGGGGTTAACAGGTTTCACCCCTAACACTCCATTCATGCCAGAGATATTGACATATCCCTTGCCCGACAGATTCAAGTATCCTCGCATTAAAGAGTATGATTGGATGACCGACCCCATCAACCATCTCAATGTATACACTGATGTCATGAACTTGCAAGTTGCACCGGATTAGGTTACGTGCAAACCCTTTCCACAAACGCTAACTAATGCTACTAGGGATTGGTTCTCGACATTGGAGCCCAACTCCATAGCCTCATTCTCAGATTTGGCTGATAAGTTCTCAGCCTTCTTTGCAAGTAGCAAGCGAATCAGGAAGATCGTGGCCTATCTCATGCAACTTCGCAGGGACCAACCGAAACCCTGCGAGGATTTATGATAAGGTTCAACAAGGAAAGGCTTCAAATACCCGACCTCCACATCACAGCAGCTGTCTTCGCCCTTACTTATGCCGTAAGATGTGAGGCTTTCAAGATGTCTTTATCAAAGACCCTGCCGCAGACAGTGACTGAGCTCCTCACCCGAGCTGAAAAATACTTCAATATGGAGGAAACACTAAATCCAAGGAGACCTGGTCCTTCTCATGAAAAGACATAGAACAAAAGGCAACATGATCCCGTCCCTAGGCATGAGGTTCCTCGGGATAAGCACAGGAACGAGGCGCCATCAGCACCTCTCACTCGGTTGAACACCTCTAAGACAAACATTTTGATGGAGTTTAAGGATATGAAAGAATTAAAGTGGCCTTCAAGGATGAAGTCGCCCCCTGACACAAGAGATAGGAGCAAGTATTGCGAATTTCACCGGGATCATGGGCATACTACAGAGGACTGTCATTCTTTACAGCGGGAAATTGAAGCCCTTATCAAAAGAGGATTTTTAAAGAATTACATTGGTCATGATAAACGGCCAAGGAATGATCGGGACAATCGGAAAGAGCTTAGGGCTGGAAGCAGTGCTCAACCCACTGCTGGAACCATTAATATTATCGTTGGGGGCATAGCATCCGGTGGAGACACAAGTAGTGGGCGGAAGCAGTATGCCCGCCAACATGTTCATACCCCAAGAGAATCCAGTGATGAAGTTAAAGACATCACTTTTGGTGCAAGAGATTTGGAAAGAATATCATATCCTCATGACAATGCCTTGGTCGTTTCTGCGGTTGTGGCTAACTTCGAAGTAAGGAGGATTCTGATTGATAATGGGAGTGCCACGAACATACTGTCGCAGGAGGCTTTCACCAAAATGGGAATCTCTCCCAAGTAGCTCAAAACAGTAAAAACTCCCCTATAAGGATTTGGTGGTGGAATCATTATCCCTGAAGGCATCGTCGAGCTCCCGCTTACATTAGGAGTTGGCAGTACACAAGTGACGGAAATCACACCATTCCAAGTGGTTAACACCCCAATGGCCTACAACATCATTCTGGGAAGACCCCCACTGAACAAGATCCAGGCTATTGTGTCAACTTTCCACCTCGCCATGAAGTTCCCCACAGGTCATGGCATCGGAGTAGTTTGAGGAGACCAAACGGCGGCTAGACAGTGCTATGTTACAAGCATCCGAGGCATGAGTGCTGACGTCATGCAACTGGTAGACCTCGAGCCCGAGCTCGAGGCAAGGGGTAGATTGGCCCCCGTTGAGGAATTGGAAGTGGTCGAGCTCGAGCACGAAAAAGTTGTTACTATTGGTCGGGATCTGAAGGCCAACCTCCAGGAGGAAGTCATCAGTTGTCTGTCCCGCAACATTGATGTTTTTGCATGGAAGGTGGGGGATATGACAGGGATAGACCCAGAAATAGCTGTCCATAAACTTAATATCAGCCCAGGGGCCAAACCTGTTAAGCAAAGGAAGAGACAATGCGCTGGAAAGACATGTGGTCATTCAGGAAGAAGTCAGCAAATTGTTGGGAGCGGGGTTCATAAGGGAAGTCCAATACCCCGATTGGCTCACTAATGTTGTTATGGTGAAAAAGCCCAGCGATAAGTGGAGGTTCTGCATTGACTTCACAGATCTGAATAAGGCATGCGCAAAGGACAGCTACCCGCTACCTAGGATCGATAATCTTGTGGACAACACATCCGGATATAAGCTGTACAACTTCTTAAATGCATTCTCAGGGTATCATCAAATCCTTATAGCCAAAGAAGACCAAGAGAAGACTTCATTCATGGCTGATTCAGCCATGTATTGCTATAGGGTGATGCTATTTGGGTTGAAAAACGCTGGGGCAACATATCAAAGGCTCATCAACAAAGTCTTCGCCGATTTGATAGGGAAGAACATCAAGGCCTATGTGGATGACATGGTTGTAAGAAGTAAGAAGGTGGAGGAACATATATCCGATCTTGAGGAGGTGTTCGCCACCCTACGAAAATATAAGATGAAGCTCAACCCAGAGAAGTGTGTATTTGGCGTAGCTTCAGGAAAGTTTCTGGGTTTCACGATCACTCATTGGGGGATTGAGGCTAACCCCGACAAAATTCAGGCTTTGGCACCAACGACCAAGAAAGAGGTTCAAAAGTTGATAGGCAGGATAGCCACCTTAAACAGGTTCATGTCCCGAGCAGCAGACAGGTGCTTCCCCTTCTTCAAAGCCCGGGTAACCATTGTTTTGAATGGAATGAGGAGTGTGAGAAGGCTTTTCAAGAGCTCAAGCAGACATTGGTGAAAGAGGTTAACAGGGGCCAGCAACCCATTTATTACGTAAGCAAAGTGATGCAGAAACAAGATACACTTTGGCAGAGCAACTTGCCCTTGCACTGATAGTAGCGGCATGAAAACTTCGGCAATATTTTCGGTCACATCCTATTGTTGTGCTTACCAATCAACCTCTGAAACACATTCTTTAGAAACTAGACGTCTCAGGAAGATTACTAAAGTGGGCAATTGAACTTGGAGAATTTGACATAGAGTTCAAGCCCCGTCCATCTATCAAAGCTCAGGCCTTAGCTGACTTCATTGCAGAACTCACTCCAAGGCCTCGGGGGCCAGATAGTAGCTCGAGTTCAAGCATAACCGTGTGGAAAATTTTCGTAGATGGAGTATCGAACTCCTTGGGCTCTAGCGCAGGGGTCATAATCATAAGTCCGGACATGCTCATAAACATTCAGTGTGCACTAAGGTTCGAATTTGAGGCGACCAATAATGAAGCTGAGTATGAGGCCGTCATCATAGCTATGGAACTCGCCATAAATCTCGAGCTTGAAAATATCAAAATTTATAGTGATTCCCAGTTGGTGGTTGAGCAAATCGAAGGGACGTTCAATAGAAAGAATGAGAAGATGAGCTTATACTGCTTGAAAGTGCATGATCTCCAGAGAAAGTTCAAGAGTTGTGAAATTGTAAAAATTTCTCGGGCTAAGAATTGTAGGGCAGATGCCTTGTCAAGATTGGTGTTCAAGGGAATAGATGGGCTTGACAAGACAGTCCACGTCAGAATTGTAACCGAGCCAAGCATCAATCAAACCGTAGGCATCATGGATATTGATAATAAGCCATCATGGATGGACCCAATAGTGGGCTTCATAAAACATGGCAATCTTCCAGCAGATCCTCAGGCAGCGAGAAGCATTCGGTCCAAAGCTCCGAGGTATTGCATGATTGAAGGTATTTTATTTCACAGGAGCCTCACACTTCCATACCTCAGATGCCTTAGGCCTTCCAAATCATCTCAGGCCCTAGAAGAGGTTCATTAAGGTGTATGTGGGAACCATCAAGAAGCACGGGCTTTAGCCTTCAAGTTCATAAGGTATGGATATTATTGGCCAACCATGAAGAAAGACGCCCACGAATATGTCAAGAAGTGTGACAAGTGCCAAAGATTTGGCAATGTCATCCACCCTCCCGTAGAAGACCTCAATAGCATTAGTTGCATAGCCTCATTTGAGCAGTGGGGAATTGACATCCTTGGTCCCTTTCCAATAAATAGGGGACAATTGAAGTTTGTGGCTATGGCTGTAGAGTATTTCACTAAGTGGGTAGAGGCCGAGCCTTTAGCAAAAATTTCAGAGCCAAAGTTAAGAAGTTTCATTTGGAGATCCATCATATGCAGGTTCGGGATACCAAAAGTCCTCATAACTGATAATGGCAGGCAGTTTGACAATGCACAATTTAAAAAATTTTGTACCGACCTAGGGGTTGATCACCGTTTGACGTCGATTTTCCATCCTCAAAGTAATGGTCTCGTTGAAGTGACCAATCGGATTATATTGTAAGACCTCCGTACAAGGATCGGCGATGCAAGAGGTTCCTGCTCTGACGAGTTACCTTCCATACTTTGGACGTATAGAACGTCACACAAAACTACTACAGGGGAAACCCCCTTCATGTTGGCTTTTGGAATTGAGGCCACCATACCTGTTGAAGTCAGGTTGCCCAGCCAAAGGAGGCTCGAGCCCAAAGATGTAGGGTGCACAACTGAACATCTCGACCTTTTGGAAGAAGTTTGGGATCGGGCAGCTTTAAAAATGGCCTCCTACCAGGATAAAACAGCAAAGTACTTCAATAAAAAAGTAAGGACGCGGAGATTTAGAGGCGGAGACCTTGTGTTAAGAAGGGCTGAAGCAGCAGGTCATGCCTCGGGCAAGCTAGGACCAGTTTGGGAAGGGCCCTTCGAAGTCATACGACAACTCCAAGGAGGCGCATACAATTTAAGGGATACGTCAGGAAGGCCGCTTCCCAGACCATGGAACGCCGAGAATTTAAAGATATATTACAAGTAACTTGGTCTTCCAGTTATCCGTAGTGAGGCTTGCGCATCAAGTTCACGTTTTCAATTGTCAGGCCTGCTTGCCAAGTTTTATTTCTTTGGTAGTTAGGCTTGCGCATCAAGGTTCATGTTTTCAATTGTCAGGCCTGCGTGCCAAGTTTTATTTTTCGGTAGTCAGGCCTGCGGCCAAGGTTCACGTTTTTAGTTGTCAGGCCTGCGTGCCAAGTCTGTTTTTAAAGTATAATAAGAATTAAGCAATTCGTCAAAATATGATCTAGCTACAAAAAGCCTTGCCCCGCGCAAGCAACTCAAGCCTTGCCTTGCTCAAGCAATAAAAAAAGCGTTGCCCCGCGTAAGCAATCAAAAAAGCCTCGTACCACACAAGCACGTCAAGTAACATTCCCGATCACACAGTGCCCGATCAATGGTATGAGAGATCTTATAAAAAGGCCATTTACAGTCCTCGGGAACACGCTATAGGTCGGTACAATTACGTCGTCATGCATGCTCGAGTTCAACACTTGATGTTCAAAAATGATTTTACAATTGAGTCCTCGGGATAACTTGTCTACATGCTCGAGTTCAACACTTGATGTTCAAAAATGATTTTACAAATTGAGTCCTCGGGATAACTTGTCTACATGCTCGAGTTCAACACTTGATGTTCAAAAATGATTTTACAAATTGAGTCCTCAAGATATTTTATTAATCTAGGCGTCGAGTTGTCAATTCATCTTAGGCGTCAAGTTATTGAACCATCTTAACGTCGAGCTATTTGAGTTTGTCATGATCGAGACATCAGCCATACATAATCGCGTAAAATGAAAAATACTTGATTGAGCAAAATACCATAAATGGAACATTATCTAAGATCGAGCAGAATACTTGTTCAAAATACAAAAAAAGGGGGATGTCTGAGAAAAAACATAAACTAATCTAGGTCCTCGGCTCTTTCTCCCGAGGTCGTGCTCCCCTGTTCTTCCACCACATCCTTGCCGTCAATATCGACCTCATGGTCTTTGACGATTTCCTCAGACTCTGAAAGCTCGAGGTCATCAGCAATCTCAGGGATGTTCTTTAAATCCTCGGGTTTGACGTCAGGCTTTGACCTCAAAAATGCCCGAGCCTCTTTGAAAGCGTGGAAGTATGAGCCCATGGCGTACTTTCCCTTAAGCCAGTTGAACTCCTCGGACATTTTGAAATCCTTGATTGTAACCCCTCGAGCTTCAGCTAGGCGAGTTTCGAAATCAATCTTCAAACGCTCGATCTCGAGCTTTAAATCCTCGGCCTCGCCCATGGCAGCTCCAGTCTCTTCCCGAGCTCTCTAGACGTCGTTCTTCGAGTCCTCGAGCTCCCTCTGGAGAAGGAAGCGCTCAGCTTCCAAGTCGGCTATCCTCTTCTCATGTGCTTGAGAAGTGTCCTCGAGCTCAGTAGTTTTTTGTGCCTCGTCTTTCCCCTTCAGAGAAAGACCTTGGGCAATGCTCAGAGCCTGCATCATATAAACCCCAGCTTAAAGCAATCACATCGTATAAACCCATAAATTACACCAAGTAAGTTGAGCGACCTTACCTTCAGAGTGAGAGATTCAAGAGCATTCATACCCTCATCAAAATCGAGGTCCTTTGGATACTTTTCCACGATGCTGGACACCAGGATCTTGATTTTGGAACGAGGGCATAGGTGGGACCTCATCCTCGAGGTCAACAACCTCGGGGGTACACCTTGGCTGAGGACGTGATCGAGGTGGGGCAGTTGGAGTCTCATTGGCCTGTATGGTCGGGGATTGTCCTCGGGCAGAAGGTTTCCCTGGCCCACTCCTAATATTCTCGGGGCCTGAATCTCGAGCTCTCTTCTTCCCTCTCTTTTGACATGGAGCTCGAGCTTGAGGGGCTTTCGACTTTTTGTTCACGGCCTATTTGAGGGCTGAAGGATCAAAAGTCATCTCTGCAAAAAGCAAGTCATTGACATGAGCACAATTATACGTTCAAAGACAGATCAGTAAGGAAGAAGGCAAAAAGATGATCCCTACCTTCAGTACCTTTCACATCCGCGAGATCGAGAACGTCATCCCCGAGGATGTCATCTATATCATATACAAAAAGCTCGAGGTTCTCTAACATCATCCTATGCCTTTCTAAAGACTCAAAATAGGCCTGGCCTTTACAAAACCTGGGAGTATCAGGCAAAACCCACCTAGGACTAAAAGGAAGGTCACTATCCTGAGGTGCGACATAAAACCACTTTTTTTTCCATCCTTTCAATGACCTGGGCATCCTCGGCAATCTAAAGCCTCCTCGGGATGAAAGGTAAGCAAAACAGGTATGTTAAGGTAACTGTTTTAGGTCGAAGACCATTCTACAGAGATCGACGTATGGGTTAATTCCTAGGTATCTACTAGCTATAAAAAAATAGGTGAGCATCCTCCACCCCTTTGGCACAAGCTGTCCAAGGCTCATGTTATGCTCGACCAATAAAGACATAAAAAAGGAATGCAGAGGCCATCTAAATCCCCCCTTTAGTGAGTCCCTAAAAATCACAAACTCTCCATCTCGAGCAAAGACCATCCTATCCTCTACCCTTGGCGTCCTAATATCACATTTTGGCATGAGCCCATGCTCCCTAGCCGTCGATATTGCTAGATGCTCTTTAAATTTAAAAGGAACCTCGAGGTACCTAAAGGGGGTCGGGATACTTTGTGCCCGAGGTTGGGCATTAATTGGGACGGCCATAGGTATGATCGAGCATACTATGTCCTTGGGAGTACTCCTCGAGAAGGTGGACGAAGACTCAGTACTATTATTGCTAGACATCCTGACTTAGGTAAAAAAGTGCCTAAAGAATAACTTAAAAACTCGAGGTCTTACCTTAAAGTCGACGCCTAAAAACTCAAAGTTCTGATCCCGACGATTAGCAAGAGAAGTTTACTGAGAGTAAAAAGTGAAAAATGAAATGTGGAGAGAGTATTTATAAGCAACAGGAGCGGGTAGTCCAAAGGTCACTACCCCGACCCTCAGATCTGGCCACGTGTCCTACATCCACCCCCTACGATTTTTTACCGCCTTTTCCTATTTTAGGGTTGACCACATCCCGCCTGGCTGCTTCGCATATTGCAATACTTGTCCTTGAACATATGCTCCCCTTACAACCTACGATTGTTGACCCTTTAGAATTCCTACGCAATTAGGACTCTAACTCAACCATATATTTGACTCCTGCAAGGATTCTATCCCACATATAATTATGGAATTTGATCAACTCCTTAACTATTCAGGACTCCAACAGATAAGGACATCCAGCTAGTTGAGTCCCACTAGGAGAATGTCGCTTACTATTATAAATACAGAACCTTGAGCCATTATTCAGGTACGTTTTTCATTATTCTCTAGTATATAGCCTCACGCATATAATTCCCTTTCTAACTTAAGCATCGGAGGGGCGACGAGAGCACACCTTGTTGCCTTTGTTTCAGGTACCGGAAGACTACGATCGTGATCAACCCGAATCATCAAGCTCGGGAAACCTGCAAGTACGAATTTTGGTAGCATCAATTATCAATTTTAATTTATTAAGAGTAAGGTTTAAAGCATATTTAGTTAGTATTATGAACGATTTAAATTATAAATAGAAAAAAATATAGATAAGTAAGCAGTACTTATGAATTTCTCAAGAGAAAAAAAAAGGTAAAAAGTGAGTTTGAATGTGTTTATTAAATATTGACAATTCAAAGACGGGATTGCCCTGAATTGAACAAACTAATGATAATTGATAAAGATTATGCTACTTGTATATAGAAATAGTACATTAGAGATTACAAAAAATGACGTGGATGAAAAAGATTACATAAAAACATTGATTGTATTTTGTAACGCATTATATAAAGTTTGATGTACATGTAGCAATGTCCAATTCATAAATAGATGGAAGAAGATGCGTGTAAGAGGCGTGAAAGAGTTAGTTTTGAAAACAAATTAGTGATCCAAACTTATGGGTTCATATTCTTTGCATAAACGAGGTCATAAATTCTCTCTTGATTTGTCCTTAGATCGACTGGATTAATATAGTTTGTGCTATTATTTGGTCAGTTAACATCTTAATAAATTAATCCAAAAATTCGCAACGTTGAGAATCATGTCTCATTGACTTTCCCTGTAGTGATGATTGGTATGTACTTTTTTAATTTATAAACAAGTTGATGATAAATTACTATCAACTAAAACCAATGTCAATGACTTAATGAAGGACCTCACTACTGTTAGTCATGTTTATTGGGTCTTGATGACTGAGTCTACGACGTATAGAATTAACTCTAATTCAGAACAGCAAATAGCAACAATCGATCGATCGTTAACTACAAAACTACTGAAAACAATTAAATTATTACATAGCAAACTTAGAAGATTCGAATATTAAAAGCATTAGGACTTAAAACCGGTAGACAAATATTCGCTTGTGTTAACTACTGATATCCTTAAATTATTCGACTAACTCTATCAAGTAGAATTTCTTATATCTCGAGAGTAGAAAGAATTCCTTATTACGTTAATGTTACGAATTTAACTATTGAATTGACCAGATAAGATGAAAATCAATTTTCAATTTTGCGGTCATCCAACAAATAAAATCAAATTAGTTTTGACTTGATTTAGAAATAGAGCTCACCAAAAAATACTACCTACTACGTAAAATTATAGCTTCGATTCAGCCCAAATTTTTCTGCTTCTGCTAACAATCATAAAATCCAGTCAGCAGAGTAACTATTGCTATACATATAAGTAAACTAACAACATACAAGGGGCAAAAGGTTGACATTGTGGGTCGTCCCTCCATATCTTGAATCTCTGGTTACCCGTAGGTATTTCCATCGATAATTGCAATATCATCTGCTCCATTACAGAGACGAAAATACCCGAGTAATAACTATGTCAGAATATCTTCCTTGTTTCAAACTGTGCAATAATTGGAGAAAATTAATTATTGGATTTGATGAATATGAAGTTTGTATAGATGTACACAGAAGAACTTTAAGGAGTAATGAGAATTCTATTCATTCAAAATTATCCATGATGTACACTGAGGAAGTGTATATATACAGCCAACAAAAAAAAAAAAGAAAAAAAAGAAAAACCTCTCCCTAACTAATTTACACAGATAAATGCAGAATAAATCAACTTGCTCAACAAGCAAAATTGAAACTAATTCATTCTAGACGATTCTTCCATTGCTGTGCTACAAAATTCACATGTTTTGCCTCCTACCAACATTCCAGCTAAACTGTGCTTGTAAGTCCACATGACTTGCTTCCTGCCAACGTTGCAACTGAATCATCCTCAAGCTTCAATAGTGATCAATGATTAGCTACTATAGAGAAACGGTACTCCACACGGTTCATTCCACGGTCACAGTTAGGACTGTCAATGGATTGAATTTTGATCTGAATTTGATGAAATCAATGGGAGATGAATTTAGAGTCTTAATTCGATAACTCGACAGAGATCCGAATTCGATAATATGTTAACTAAATGAATTAAATATAGATATAAGTCAATCCAATCCGATAACAACTTGATCCAATTTATTATAATAACTAGTCAAAATTTAACGTGCATTGCACGTTCTTTTGAACTAATTCATAAGTATTGTAAAAGTGATATTTGATACAAATCTGTTAGAGGATTTAATGAGTCTTATGCAAAATAAAGAAAATAAAATTTAATATAGAAATTTAAAAAAAGAAATTGTACTATCAAAACTCAATTACTATGATTCAAATTTTTTGTAATGATGAAATATTACAAATGATAAATCTTTTTATATTATATTGATACATAAAAATTAATTGTCAATACATAAATTTAAATACCTATTAAAATTTCTAGATACATGAATATAAATGAAATTCATCTATAACAATTTTAGATTCGTGTAATTCAAGATTCATCAAGTAAAATTTCATTGAATCTAAATTAATATGAGTATTAATTAATTAAGAATTAATAACACGAATTTTATAAATGACAATGATTTTATAGTATTTATTATATGTCGAAAAATGAAAAATGAGGTATCATTGAAATAATTGAATTATAAAAAGGTTAAAATCTTCTTCCTTGATGTGATATATTAAAATATTATACATATTTTTTTTATCTTATTGCATAATTTATGACATATTTTTTCCATTTTAAATATTGTATTATACTTTACACGTAATATTTAAATAATAAATAATATTATGTAATAGTATAATATTTTTGATTGAAAATTTTGAAGAGATTTAATTTTTTATTAATTAATAGTAATTTATTTTATAACATAAAAAACTAACTAATATGTCCAAAATAATTTACTTTGTTCAAATTGATATTGTTTGTAATTAAATCTTATTAAGACTATGATTTTTAATTAAAATAATAAAGTACACTAGTAAACACTTGGAATTGACAAATGATTATTATTAATATCTCACATTGAAAGATTACTAAATCATTGAAAGAGGAGAATTCTTTAAAAAGTTAGTATCCCATTGAAATATCACTAAAACATTTCAAGAGGAATCTCCTTTAAAAAGGAGCATCATTGGAATAAAAAAAGTTGATTTGGGTCTTCTAACATAACAAGTGAGCTCATCAAAATAATTCAAATATTTTTTAAAATAAATAAATAATTAAAATCTTGTTGAGACTATGATTTTTAATTAAAAAAATAAATAAAATTTTTAATTTTCTAATTATTTCAATTTCGGATCGAGTATCCAATAACATAGCTAATCATATATAAATTTAACATTCAAATATCCGTTGGATTATCGAATCAGATCGAATAATTATTCTTAACAGATTGGATCCGATATGGATCGGATCCAGTGATGATTCCAAATAGTCCAAACATAACTTGGTCAGAGGAGAAAGTTTATGAAACGATCCACTGAATATTGTTTCCCAATTTTTCTCATATGGTATGTATGGGATTCAAGTTTGATCTTTTTCCGCACTGAATTCTGCTAGTTTACCATAGATGGGTGCGTAACCAAGTTTTTCTGCCAAGGTAAATATTTACACGAGATTAAAATGAGAATACTCAGTTATGTCTGCACAAACAATAAAATACCCAACCAAACATGCTGAACAGGTTTTTATGCAAAATGAATGAGCAGCGCTACTGTGCATCAAGTAGAATATCAACTTCAAGAATCAAAAGCAGCGAAACATTCTGACTGTGTGTATAAAATCTCATTGCAGATTTACCTTAACGTACATACGAAAAAACAGTGTATTACCTTTTTCCTCAAGATTGCTTGGATTTTTATGGTGAGTAATGCTCTGGTTATGTCCTCGTTCACCATATGGATTGAAGAGAACATACTCATAATTACTATTCATGCACGCCAGCAAACCATAGGCTGGGCTTGTTCCTTATTATGAAACCAACCGAGCAATACCAGAGTTTACACCCTCCAAGAAGCAGAAGGGTATTCACGTTATCTCTACCTAGTATTAAATCTCATTAGATTATAAAAATAAATTTACCTTGCTCACAAACCAGGTAGCCAAGGGAACAGGATTTTCTGCATTGAACAGTAAGATTGCCCGATCTACGCCCTGTAATGTGGCTTCAGTAGACTCCACACATTCATACGTCTTGGGAAGAAGGGCAAGAACAGAAAAGGTGGAACCATTCAGGGAACATGTTATATCTGCACATATATCATAATATTGACCAAAAAGATTTACAGATGAAGAAAGCATTTCCATCTGGTATGCAATATCTTGTTTTGGAAAAATCAGTTAAAATCTCATAGTGGATATCACGAAGGGAACTAAAATTTTCCAGGTGACAACACGTTACTATCCCCAATTTTTTTTTTTTAAAAACAGCAATAGACAGCTCTGTAATATTACCTCAAGAGTATCTCCAATTACTGCCACCAGAATATTTTGATCTGGATCCCACAATGTGACAACTTTTTTCTGCAGCAACAGCCAAAACAGACGCATTGGCAGAAAATGCAGCAGCTATCATAGGCTTTTTCCTACCAAAAACAAATCTTCGCTATTAGGTGTATGTATAAGCAAATCTACCTTTAACATATATATCAACATACTAGTAAATGCACATTTGTTGTCATAATAAACGCTTGTATCAGATAAAAGGACCTTGGCAAGTGAAACTAACTAGATATAAAGTTCATGATCATGAGAGTACATAACAGTACCTGGAGGAATTTATAACCTTGATATTCTGTTCAAATTTGTAGATATTATACATTACAATAGTCGAAACAAACTTTAATATGATTTATCTGTCGAAGGAAAGTCAAGACTTGTATGAACCAACAGCATGGCACTTCCAGCCACTACTCTGAATCTGGTCCTTCAGGTGGGTGTCATGCATACGAACCCAAATCTGCCAATCTGAAATCATTAGTATGGGAAAATTTACAGAACAAATCACTCAAAAGTAGTCCATCCACCTGGAAGTCGCCACCATACGAGGAAGTGATAGCCATATGAGAAGTAGGATGGAATGCAATAGAAGAGACACCAGCCCCCCTTTACGGTTTATAGAAGGAAAAAAATATTAGGATATCTAGACTAGTGTAATATACGTGGAAGGGAAGAGAGGCATTTTTCAAATGAAATCACTGCTACTGCAATATAAAAGTGTTAGAAGATAATGATAAACCTGTGCGGTCCGTATATGACAGTAGATAAGCTAAAGTCTTTGTTTTGAGAGCCACAGGCCCAGAACTTAAAACTTACAAGGCTGCCTATCCTTTCTTCAGGAAGTCTGGCCTCAACTGTGCCCATGGTAGAACCATCTCGGGAGAGGGCTACCAAATTCACTTTTACCTGCAAAGCCATGTAATGAAAGTCTAATCACTGTGATTCGATCCCAATTGCATCAAATATTAGTTGGAGAAATGAGCGTGCTGAAAAGTAAAATACAATATTAACTACACAAATATTTCTGGGACCGTTTATATAAAAATAGGTTGAGACTTGAGGATTTAAAGAGATTAAGAGTGAGGTGTGAATCTGGAGCTTCTCAATTCAACATGAAAACACTAAGCCAAAAAGCAACAAAGAAAGTTAGACAAAAATATTTGTAAAAAATGAAGACTATTATGCCATACCAAATCATAGGTCCATCCAATGAAAAGGATATTTAAAAGAGTATTTATACTGTAGCTTCATCACCGGGCTGATGGTTCCTTTCCCAAATTTGGACCTGAAAACATGAAAATCAAGAGACATCACCTTCTAAAAGATAATATGCTGCAAAATAACTCTCTGCATTACCTCAAATGAAACTGCAAAGAATTATACTAAATTTTAAAATTTAGAAAAGGAAAAAAAAAAAAAAGGCACCTGAGCTCCTTCTGAAATCAAAAGGTTTCATGCCAAAACAATATAACATTCTAAACAGGCCTAGAAGCTTTAAAGATATTTAAAATTATGCAGATCACTGATTATCTCAGAAATTAATTATGATTCTTGACTCGTCACCCTCACAACACCCCCACTCAACAACATCAAATAAATAAATAAGTAAATAAAAAACTGCGGAAGAGATATTGAACATCAGAATGCAGGACTGTGAAAAAAGAAAAAGTAGTGTCTAAATATACACGACAAATTCAATAGCAGAACTAACAAACCAATTTGCCATGCTCACCTCGGAAATTTCAAGGTCATTAAACAAGCTGTAGAACTGTACACTGTAATTGTCTGCTGGTATTGCAACCAACCCAGCAGTGTGATCAGAGACAACACCACTACCCGATCCTTCATATATATCAGAAACTGAACTCAGAAGCTGAAATTGTAAAAGAAAATATTTCTTAAGCACAGTGATCTATTACACAGTTACAATACAACCCATGAGTTTGTCACACATCACAAAAAATACAAGAATTATAAGGAACTGGCACAAGAGCATTCCAATAAATGTGCAGAGGGATCTCACTCCCAATTCCAAATCCTACAAACTCCCTCGCCTAATAGGGAACGACAAGAAAACTGTGACAAAATAGATAGCAAAAATTCCAGTTGAAGTCTTAATATAAATGTAAGTATTTGATCCCAAATGCTGCTAATTGCCATTAATGATACTTATGAAAATACCAATCATGCAAACCTATGGCACATATTGACAACCGTGTGACAGAAAGATCTTGGACGAAAATATGAAGATTAAAAATTTAGGGTGAATTGAGAAGAGACAAAAATTATCTAAAAAAGTACCCAGAGCTTCATCCATACAGGTTTTAGATAAATTTATCAAAGGTAACATTTCAAATAAAACATTTTATTGAAGTAATGAATATAGCTTTCACTATTTTCATTATTTTCACAAGAGAAAAAGACATTGGCTTATTGCAACAAACCTTAATCCCTGAAATGGACCTCAAGATCTTCTTGAAGGCATTCTGAGTAGGTGAATCCGATTATTTGCACAGGATATCTGAAGAAACTTACTATTAAGAACTCATTCAACGGTAGCAGATACAAGATTATGTACAGAAAATGAACTTGGCTAAAACTTAGATGATTTCTTACAGAGGATGGTGAAGGATCTGAAGAATTTGTGATATATAGAAGCGGAGATCCAACTCCTGGAAGAAATTTTTTCTTCCCAGAGTCTAATTGCCATGCCACAAAAACACCTTCTCTCCCACCTTGATCCATTTAAAGATCTTATTATGACAAAAATGCAATATGCAACATAAACATACCAAATGAATGCAATAAAAAAAAAGATAGAAACAAATGAGGATTCCTCCTACACATTTTGAACTACTGCATCGACCTAGTCGATAGTGTTAACAAATTGCATGTGTATACCTGAAAATAAATACGCCTCACCAGACAAGAAAAAGAGAACATTCACTTCTGCAGAATGCCAATGCCATGTCGTGCAAGAATCAGCATCACCATTGCCCCAAACTCCAGGCCTTTCTTCTGCATTCTTATTAAGTCCTCCACTAATAAATTTACCTGTAGAGAATGTTCCGTGACCAACACCTCTCCACAACAAGATCCTTCCTGTTACCTCACCTGCTGCTACCACCCTTTCAGTAGGATGAAAAGCAAGAGCGGTAAACATTTTTGAATGATGCAATCTGATTTTCTCATAAATAGCATTATCAGAATCTTCTGTCAGAATTTCCCATATTTGAAGCCTGCGTGTTTCGCATATTCCAATATATTCCCCAGAAGGACTAATAGTTATGCAACCCGGTTTATAAGTCTGCGAAACAGTGAATGCACGATCTAAAAAAAAAAAAAAAAAGGTTGAACCCCAACCTTAGGGGCCCCCACCGACCCTGCCCTGGGCCATTGTGGAGGAGGTAAATCGCAGGATGTGCCTCCCAGGAGCCAGGGTGGAGAGCACATGGATAGGCCAAGGCTATTAACCCATATGGTAACTCCCGCTTGCAACAAAGCCAATTCCACCTTGCGGGGAATCGAACTCTGCACACTGCCGCGCTGAGCTCTATCCGCCCTCCCCTTTGCCACTGGGAGATATGCCCTGGGGACATGAATGCACGATCTCAAATACACGAACATGGGCTTATGAAGAAGTTAACAAGCACAGCATAGCACTCAATAATTATTAATTTTCATATTAAATAACCAGTGATGCCCAGCATAGCACTCAATAATAATTAATTTTCATATTAAATATATAATCCAGTGATCTCCAATATTATTTGATTAAGCTATCCTTCAAATTCTTTAAAATAAATCACCAGTGTTATCTAGCCGAGGTTACATAACTTCTCCTCAAGTTAGTATATCTGAAACGTGTGGCATTCATTTCTCTTTCGATCTTGTGCAAAATTTATTTTACCATTTTTCTACTATGACCTTTTTTAATCACCAATGGGAAACCTATATCCTTTTACAATAAAGAGTCTTAAGTTCATAAGTTGGTAAGTTATGAGCAATGGTGCATATATTTCACATGGATCTAGAAATTCGATTGATTCTAACTGCTGAATTTTCCACTTCAATATATCAATGAAATATAGACACTTACATTCTAACTTTCACCTACAACTGAAATAGCTCTAATCCTACCCGAATAATTGCTCAATTTCAAAGACAGACATGAGGCCATCCTTAAAAAGAAACAAATAAATAAAATAAAGTAAAATCTATGCAACAATTATCATGTGGATATTGAGTATTTATCACAGGAAGAAGGCACTCTATTGAAATCTGGTTTTATCTGTGTACGAACTGACACATCCACTTGAGCGTAAAATCAACAAGGATATTAAGAATAAGGCTGGAAATGAAGTTCAACAATTCAGCACAGCACTATCACATATTTATCTAATTGGCTACATGGATCGTCTTTCTCCAATCCTCTATCAATCAAGGGCATCTCCAAAGTAAACAGCAAAGGTTCAACTCACTGCTTTCAGTACTGTGTCCAAACTTGCTTTCACTAATGTGTCCAACCACCTTGGATCAAATCTCATGAAAACATTCTCCAATTTAAGGAGCTGCCAGAAAGGATTATGAAAGACACAAAGATGCTGACAACTTCATCTTCTTTTCCCTCTGCCAATGATCTATTCCCCTCTATTATTGACCTTGGAACCCTATATGAGAAATAGGTTAGCGGACAGGTCCGTGTACATTGCTTCTAATCTCATTCTCTCTCTCTCTCTCTCTCTCTCTCCATTCTCATATCAACCACAAGTAACTTATATAGTACTGAACATGTCATAGAAGTCCTGTAAATGATACTTTTAAGTCCATAAGATAAGAAATTAATGGATCAGAAAAAAAAAACCTAGAGGCACTCCTCCTCATCTCGACCTGCCTCAATCCTTAACATCAGCTCTGACACCTGCCTCCCCTGAATGAACAAGACAAGGTATCAAAACAATTCACATTTGGGAATTGTCATGAACTAAAATCTCTACTATAATCCTATCTCCAGTCGTGGTGATAGAAACTAAAGTCTTTAAAATGCATGTCTGCCATATTCCCCACTAAGAGCTCAAGCCTAAATATGTATTTTACCGAAATAAGGTGGTGGACGTGGAGGTCAGGAGGTTGAGGTGATGGTGGAGGTCAAGCCTAAATAAGGTGGTGGAGGTGGAGGTGGAGGTCAGGAGGTTGAGGTGATGGTGGCGAACGATTCTTCCAATTTTTAATAGCAAACGAGTTTGCTGGAATGTGTTTTGTCCATTTGTCAATTTTTAACATCGTTACTGGCAACGTAGGATTTTCATCCGTTGTGTGTAATTTTTTGTCCAAGTGGATGGTTGGAGTGATGGATGAATAACTTTGTACAAAAGTGAGCGAGCAATCAGTTACCTTTTATTTTTTGGTGAGCAACTAGTAACCTACCTAAATGTTAATGAGCAGTGATTTAATGAACTCGTCGATTGGGTTTGTTGCAAGATAAGTGACTTTGTTGCAAAGTATAAACCCTCCAATTCCTGTAAAGCCCGTGGTTGATTGCTCTTTAGGAATTTTGTTTCAAATCCTTAATTTTAGGGCTGGATGGTTCAATTCTGAAATTTTCGGATATTTAGTAAATGAAATCGTCGGATTCAAATTTAATTATGGAATAGTTCGAATTTCCTTTTATTCAGTTCAGTTCGGTTCCCAAGTTTCGTATTATAATTAACTTTTTTAATATTTACAAAGTTACATTAATTCAACTAATGATATATTCAATTTTAACTATTACAAAATAACGTAGTCGAATTTTATGTGTCTTTTGTACCTTTCTTTGCTAAGTTTTTTTTTATAAATTTGATTGTCAAAATCACAAGAAGAGAAAGATAACGAACTCACAATAATTAAGAGAATTGTCGAGCTTCAATTTGATTTCTCCAGAACGGTAGAAACGACACTACAGTAGAGTAATAGATTTGGATAAAATTTAGATCAATTTGATTAAGTTGGCTTTCAATTGAAAATTAGAAATAGTAAAATTATATTTTTGGGTTTTAACTAAATTAACTAGTTAGCAAATTTATTTAGAAAAATAAAATAATTTGGCATATTTAAAATAAATTAATTAAAAAATTAGGAATATTCGGTTCTTAATCTAAAACTGATAACCGAACTAAACCCGTCGATTCTTGATTCACGTATTCATTTCGATATTTAATTTAAGAAAAACCGCTCAATTCGGGCTCAATTGGTTCGAGAGTCTTGTCTAGCCCTAACTAATTTACTATTATGTGGATCGAGCCTGAAACGACGGTGGACTTATGGAATGAATCTGGCCCAAGATAAGTGACCCAATGTCGGCCCATTAGGAAATAATACAAGACTTTGACTATCGCCAAAAAAAAAAAAAAAAAGTCATTGTACTCGCACAAAAGTCATTGTACACTATGATTTTTACCTCGTACGAAAAAATGACAACAAACACGTCATTACAGAGTCTAGCCCAACCGCTCAGTATTACTGTAAGCAGAAGATAACCACAACGAAAGAGAGAACCCATATTCGCAGATAAAAATTGATTAATCGAATTATTTAACCAAACAAGCAATTTGAATCCTCAAATATCCTAATTCACTCACACATACAGTGTATAATTTTATTGTATGGCATCACCGAATAAACCTCCACCAGAAGCCGTTCGATCACCGTCCGCGATCCTTCACCGGCCTGCCTCCCCACGCTTCCCATCCGTCACGCCCACCTCCGGGGCCCACCGTAAGATCGCGATTGCTGTGGATCTCAGCGATGAGAGCGCTTTCGCCGTGAAGTGGGCTGTTCAGAACTACCTTCGTCCGGGCGATGCTGTTGTCCTCCTCCACGTCCGGCCCACATCCGTACTCTATGGCGCCGATTGGGGTTCAACCGATGTCTCTGTCGACGCGGCAGAAGAGAAATCTCAGCAGGAGCTCGAGGACGATTTCGATAATTTCACCACCACTAAGGCGAATGACTTGGCGCAACCCTTGGTGGATGCGAATATTCCGTTCAAGATCCATATAGTGAAGGACCACGACATGAAGGAGAGGCTGTGTTTGGAAGTGGAGAGGCTCGGGTTGAGTGCGGTGATCATGGGAAGCAGGGGATTTGGGGCGTCGAGGAGGAGCACGAAAGGGAGGCTTGGGAGTGTGAGTGATTACTGTGTGCAGCACTGCGTGTGCCCAATTGTGGTGGTGAGGTATCCAGATGAGAAAGATGGGAGCTTTGCTAATGATGCTGTCATTGGCAATGGGGGTTCGGCTAAGGCCATCGATAAGGATGACTTGATTCTGCATTCAGTGCCTGAGGAGGAGTCCGAGTACCATGATGCTTCGGACAAAACTACAGGTATGAAATAATTATTAGATATGCATATAACCATCAATTTTAGATATTATGTCTGTTTTCGGTTGTGTTATTAAATCGTGATATTGCACTATGTGAGAGACGAAACGAAGGAGGTGGGGAAAACATAAGGCCACAATTTGGATTGTTGTAATGGCTTTTCTGATGATTGATTGAGAGAGTGTGCCGAGTAGTTCGAAACAGAATGTTGTGGCTGGTGTTTGAATGGATTGATTAATGGGTTTTTCACTGGAAGCGTGATGAATTGGACTTCGGATTCAGAGAACTCTTTGGCATCCTCTGAATGGAATTATAATTGGATGCATTCCTAAAATAACATATAAATTGATTCAAAAACTAATTAAAACCAAAAAGTAGGCAACAAAAACTTGTTAATTTAAAAGAGTACCGAGTTTGGACAGAAATTGAGAGCGCGTCTTTTTAGTCAGTATATAGTTTTACTTGGATGAGTCTTATTAAACTACAATGTAGACTGAAATGGGATAGGATGTAAGTTATAACTTTGTAGTAATTAGAAATTTAAAAGGTTTTAGGTTTAGTAGAACCAAGACACGTACATGTTTATTCCACTTCAGTAATAGAAGGACTAATTATAGAAGGCTGTGCTGTCCTAAAAATGATTTTTCTTGGTATCTAGATTCAATTATTACAAGGAGGAACGAATTGGACAATCTAATGCATAGGAATAGAGTGGATTGGATGAATGAAGAGTGATGCAAGAAGTCTCTGATAAGAAGATCCTATAAATTTGAAAGGCTAGATCTGTGTAACAATAGTTAGACATTCTATAGTTTATGGTGTTGAGTGTTGGGTTGTGGAAAAATGCCCACAAGACGAATGTAATGGAAATTAGGATGCTAAGATATACTCACGATCTTACTAATATGCACAAATAAGAAATGATAATATAGGCCAACAAGTGGAGGTGGCTTCGTCTGAAGACAAATTAAGGGAATTCCATAATAAGAGATAGGGAGAGTAGAATAGAACAAACAGTAGTTGTGGTAGTTGCTAAGGATTAGACACTTAAAGTCTTCCCGTAGATTTAGCAATGAATGGGAGAGGCAAAAGCCAGAAAGGATTTATGTAACCAAAGCCTAAATTATTCTGAACAAGGCTTATAGCCTACTATGTTGTGGTTGTTGTTTCAAGCACAATTGATTTAACCCTTGTTTGAGCCCCATTTTTATAAAAATTCATTTTTTTTAAAATTCATATTCAACCACACATTCTTCAACAAAATAACATTACACGCAAATCCAAAATTTTCTCTTAATTTTTAATCACACAATCTCTATCAATCTATTATTCCAAAATATATTTTTTTCTCAAAAGGGGGCTCAAACAAGGGCTTAATTTATAAGATGCAAAAAATAAAATAAAAATAAAAAATAAAAAATGCTCCACAAGTTTATCATTATATTGTGGCATTCAATTGTAAAGGTGAACTCAGATTTATGACACATGAATGAAGACCTTTGATATTGTAAGCCACAGCACAATACACATCTGCTGCCATTGGCGGACCCACAGTGGGTCCTGGTGGGTCAAGTGACCCACCAACTGAAAATTCAGCTCTTTTTTTTTTTTTTTTTTTTTTTTTCAGAAATCAGATTTGAAGCCTCATTATTTGGGAAATAATTTCTTTTTGATGATTTTTTTTTTTTTTTAAAAATGGAATTGAGGATATGATCAAGTACTCCAATTTCAATCTAGTTTAGGCAATTTTATGGTAATGGATTCTTGTTGTGATTTTATTCTTTGTTTGAACTAGAATGTAGTTGATGATATAATATTTAGAATTTGATGTGATTTTTGTATTTCTTACTTGAATTGATTGTATTCATTGATTATGATGGAAAAATAATTTAAACGTAAATATGCATTTTCTTTTGATGATCACAATGTTAATGAAAGGATTATTCGAGATAAGAGAATGAAATGATGTTGGAAATAAAAAGGATACTAAACTTGGTGATGTTCGAGATAAACGTAAATCTATATCTTTTGTAAATTTGACTGTACCCCACCAACTCAAAATATCTGCGTCTGCCTGCCATTAAGTATTCATCTCCTTGGGGAACATTACAATCTACGATTTTTTATAAAGCAAAAGTTTTCACTGATTACTTGATTCTTGAGTAAATTGAGTGCACTAGGCTGAAGATGAGTGTCACAGAGGTTCCATATGGTTTATCACGAGCTTTGTCAACTGAGGGGGTACATCAGTCCTTAAGCCACCTCGACTTCATTGATTAGAATTTCTTTGGATCTTTTAGCCACCATGAATTTGTCAAGGATATATGGTAACATTTCTGTAATAATCCAGATCTATATACGACCTTGATATTGTAACTCGTAAGATGTTAAATCAAGCATTTAACTTCTCAGTTATCATTGTGGTATGGTGGTATTTCTTCTTTGAGAGGATGGAATCTACTAATCATATGCACGGTAGAAGTTTTGAATTTATATTACCTAGACGTGAACCTCTATGGATTGCAATTGCAATATCTTTGCAATTTCATTCTCTTGAGGCAATTTATATTCCTTTGACGTGATTAACCATGCATCTCTTCTACCAGACGATTCTTTGAAACTTTTGATCGCTATTTTTCATCCTTCCATTTCAGTATAATGCAGATATGGAGAAGACTTCTTGAGCAAATGGGATATGGAGAGACCTGGGTATTCATAAGCTAGTCAAAGTCAAGTGATCTCAATGAATATTAATTTGTGCCCTGTAGGTCGTTTCTGCTTATGTTTAGTAGCTGTATTTTCACTATTTGTAGCGTGAAATAAGTGACTTTGTTGATGAGTTTTTTCAATCCATTCCTTTCCATTTGCTGTAGTAAGTTAGCTTTCAGAACAATGCTTTGCAAACTTATCCTTTCAGTCTATTTTGTTATACTTATGGCATGTTTTTCAAAGGTAAATCTGTACTGAACAGTATTAATTTATAAAATGAAGTTAAAATTTTGTATAGTCTACTGTTAATGTCAACTATGATATCGTGAGTTTGAACGTGGAATAGTATCCCCGACGTACTTAGAGAAGTTCAAACGAAAAGTTCAGAAAAATGTTTATTCCTTGATTCGGGATGGTTGTTGTGTGTGACTAATAATAAGCCTAAGTGCCTAACCGAACTTGCAAAGTGGTAATATTCGAAAGTTTAGGTAGAAGATTTATTGGTATAATAACATTGCTCTCTTTGAGCCCTTGATATTGTAGATATATTTAGCTGCGCTGGGGTAACAACTCTAATTTAGGTAGCGCTAGATGATAGACGGAGTCAAAGATGAAATTAAATATTTCACTTATTATTTAATGTCACATTAACGTCACATAGACGGAGATTTTAACTCGGTGGGGTTACATAGAAATATTCTTTTTAAAAGCTAGAATTACGAGTTGGTAGCATTGATTAAAGAAACTTGAAATTCCAACCAGCTCATGTAAACGATGACGATGAGATCATGACTTTGAATGTGAAATAGTAGTATGCCAAATACTTTAGAGAAATTTAACACTCTAGAAATATTAATTAATGTTTCTTTAATTTATATTAGTTTAGTGAATCATCGAATCTAGATTCTTAACCTTACTATATTATTAAATTATAAACAAACAAAGTTATTCAAACACTTGGATCGACAAAGAAATGTGTATGAAAGAAAAAACAACTAATGACATCTATTCGTGAACAAAATAATCTCATGAAATTCATCAATTTAATGCAAAACCACAAAAAACATTGATCTTTTCATCAAATCAGGACTTAATCTAAGCATAAGAGCACAAAATTCCATCAGATTCAAACACCCATCACCGTCCAAATCACCTTCATTCAACATGCAAATCAAATCAGAATCGTTCATTTCCTGCAACCCTAAAACTGCAGAATTCTTCTTCAAGCTCTCGAATGTAATAACTCGCTTCTCAGAGTCCATCAACAAGCGAAACCCATTACACAGCTCGTTCACGAACCCATCTGCACCCAGTTTCTCAACCATTGACGGGAAAAAATCTTCAAATACAACCTCACTTTTCGTCGCCATTACGGAAAATGAAACTCTTCGAAAACTCTCGGGAAATGAAGGGTTTGTATATATAATGTTATAAGAGGAGGAAATTGAGAAGAAGGAGAGAAAAAGTTGTGGAAAGCACAGATCAGATGTGTTTTCTGTTTAGAGGAAGCTGCATGGAAATGTAGTTTGAGGTCATGCCAACTGCCAAGCACTTTCTTCTGCAAGAAACTATAACTTATTTGTGGCAACAATTTTCAATGACTTTTTTTATTTTTATTTTTATTTTTGATGTTATATTAATGCAGTAGCGTATTGGGGGTTGAGGGGGGCGGATCCATTTTCTCATTTTTAATTGTTTAAGTTGAGATTTGCTATCAAATTATTGATGTTCAATTTTTACCTATTATTATGATTTATTATTGTAAAATTTCACGCATTTGGCTTTTCAAATGTTATCTGGTATCTACACGTGTTAAATACACAAATATAAAAGTTCATTATCTATACGTGACGATAAATTCATTATAAGTTGAATGCGAGAGTTTATTTACATGTACAGCAATGATTTTTTATTTATTTTTTAAATAAAAGAATTGCTAGATATTCAAGACATTAACAATTAGACACGACATTGTTATTCATATAAATTTAGGAGTGTCCTAAATTGAAATTGTGATGAATTTTAATAATTCTTCTAAATTTAGGTGTCTTTAATTGAGACTTTAAATCTTTAATGGATTTTAATGAAATTCATTAAAATTTATATGTCTCCAAATGAGGTTTGAATGAAATTTATTAAAATTTAGTATCCTTAATAATTAATGGATTTGTAAAGATTTCATTAATAGATATATTTTAAAAGATTTGGATATATTTCAAACTTAAAAATACATATAACCAAATCCTTTAAAATTCACCATACTTGATGACATTCTAATAGAATTTGTGGAAATCTACTTAAATCCACAAAATTTGTTAGGATTTATAATCTTTTAAAATCCATTAAAATTTTAGTTGAGGATGCCTCGTTAGTATTGTTTTATTTCTTTTATATGTCGTAAAATTACAATATGATTTTCTACAAAAAAAAAAAAAAAAAAAAAAAAAAAACTGTTTTTTATTTGTAAAAAAAAAAAAATTTTTTTTTAAAAAAAAAAAAAAAAAAAAAAAAAAAAAGCTGTTGAAGTGCAACTTTCGACGTATCAAATGTTATTTAATTGTTTGTTGTTCAAAAATTGGGCTCCTTTATGGATTGAAATGTGATCAATGAATTAATTATAATATTGGAAGACAATGTTGGACGAATTGGAAGGCAATGTTGGGCATTTCTACTTAACCATATGCAAGAATAGGCTAAATGGCAATGTGTAAGTACGACCTTGTGTGCAGAAAACAAAAGCAATTTTGTTTCCACCATGTGTACGCATAGTTAAAAATCTAGCTATTGGGTTGATTTTTATTTGAATTTCTGGTGCCTTTTGGAGAAAAATTCTCAACTTTTCTCAAGTGTTTGGAGCCTTTTCGTGGTATAATGTTAAAAATCTATACATAAATGATAGATTTCCAATTCTAAACATAAGAAAACAACATTAGAAATCATCATTCATTCTACACTTGAATTTTCTCTATTCTATACATATTTTCAAACCTTCTTCAAATTTTCAACAAGTTCAACTAGAAAGAATCGTTTTGCTTTTGTGCTTCTTTCTTGAAAGCTTGTCAATTCTCTAAACTATTTGTCGAAAATCCTAAAAGCATACTAGAGGGGACAAATATTGTTTTTAGGATAGTGCATCATATATGTGTTTTGGCTTCATTCTTCATTTCTTGTTTACATCTCATTCTTTGCCTCTTCGATATTTCCAACAATCTAAAAACAATAGTTGCTACCATCAAGTTGATGAATCAAGATTTGGTACGCTTTGATAGGTTTGATGGATCAAACTTTACAAAAGATGGTAAGACAAACTCAAATTGCTTCCAATAGCGTTAAAAATCTTCTATGTACTTGATCCAAACTTAAAATTAATTACCGATACAACCAAAGAAGATAGGAAGAAGTTCATACAGAGATAAAGAAGAGGCAAGATGACGAATTGATATGTTGCGCTTGATTAGTTTGCATACCTTTTGAACGAGCCTTTCCGATAGTTCCATTTAGACATTTTCTTCGAGATTTCCATTTAGGAATACTGTCTGGACATCCATTTGATGAACATGTAAATCATAAATAGATATTAATGCAAACAAGATCCTTATCAAGGTTATCCTAGCCATGGGTGTATATGTGTCAAAGTAATCTATAATTTATTTTGTTGATGCCCTTTAACTACTAATTTAGCTTTATAGGTATTGAGTGTTTCATCAAAATTATATTTCCTTCTAAACACCCGTTTACAACCAATGGATTCAAATATTTCCTAAGTGTTTTTTGATATAATCAAATCTATTTCATTATTCATTGCATCTTTCCAGAATATGCAATCTCTAGAATATATTGATTCATTATAGGTTCTAGGATCACTTTCACTGGAAGAATAAAAGGAATTGTTCTTACAATATCCTTTTTATCTCCCTCTACTAAGTAGAAAAATAAGTTATGAATCTATTTCATCCTATTCTAGACATTTTTCATTTCTACTTCTTTTACTTTTTCGAGGTTCACTTTCAACATCTCTTGTAGATGTCTCTTCTTGTGATTCTCTAAAAGTCGAAATGTCTACATTAGTTTTATTTTGATAATTTCTTGTCGCCAATACATTCTCCAAAAACTCCATATCCCTTGATTCTATTATAACATTCGATTCTAATTGTAATAACATATAGTCCTTGCTATTTAAAGCATATCCCACAAAGACACATTTGATACCTTTAAAATCTAATTTAGTTCTTTTAAGATTCATGTTCTTGCAATAATCAAGACACTTCCACATTCTGAAATAATTAATATTTGGTTTCCCTCATTTGCATATTTCATATGCAGAAACCTTATTCATTTTCAAATGAATTCTATTTACTATATGGCAAGCACTAAGTAAGACTTCATCATCGATATGTAGGGTGAATTCTAAGGTTCCTTATTCCACTTGTAAAGTGAAAGAAGCCATTCTCCTTGTCCCACTAGCAGCCTGCATTTTCGATCCGAAAGGAATTGAAAATGAAAGAAGAATTCGTGTGCACTATCTATGGAGTAGAGTGACTATCCTTAATCTCTTATTCCCTATCTTTCCCTTTTTTGCCTTCAGCTATTACCGGTTGGCAACGCTTGGCCCAAGATTGGATTTGTTTGAAAACAACCAAGGTAGGGTTCATTCAATCAAATCTTTTAGATTATAAGGTAATTCAGAATTTAGTAACATAGCATTTATCATTTTCATGAATGTCCTAATCTTTCTTTCTGCTAGACCATTTTGTTCTTGTATATGTGGTGTTGAACATTGATGTATAATTTCATTTTGTTCGTAAAATATGTTGAATTTGATTGAAAAATATTTTCCAGCTCTATCACTTCTAAGAGTCTTTAATTTCTAATTAATTTTCAACTTCAATTTTATATGTTTTAAATGTACTAAAGACATTATCTTTATGTGTCAACAAATATACATAAGTATACCTAGAATAATCATCAATAAAAGTAATAAAGTATCTACTATATTCTTTTATTAGCATGCCATTTAATTCACATATATAAGAAATAGTGCGTTGAAGTAAGTTTGTTGATCTTACTATACTATAAAATGACTTTTTAATCATCTTTGATTTAATACACGTTTCACATATCTATAAGTTATCACCTTCACATTGTATTAATCCAAATTTAGCCATTCTTTTCATAGTGCTAATTCCTATGTGTGCTAATCTACCATTCCATAAATTAAATGAATCAATAACATAAGCAAAATATTTGTTTTTTATTATAATTATGCTCAAAAGTATAAAGTTTGACTACTCCTTAAGTAGAATAACCATTTCCAATAAAATTTCCATTATGGGTTAGTAAAAATTTTTCTGACTCAAATATAGATTTGATTCCCGATTTTTTCAAGAGAACCTCACTTGCTAAGTTCTTATTCATTTCTAGTATATAAAGGACATTGGTCAAAGTAATATTCTTTCCCAAAATAAAGATGATTTCCACATTCCCTTTGCCAATCACTTTATATCTTTCTTCATTTTTCATTTGGATCTCTTGATCATTATCAATGTTATGATAAGTTTTGAAAAGAGACTTATCATAACACACATGAATAGTTGTGCAGGTATCAACCACCAACCCAGAGTTCACTTGTCCCTCATTCTCTTGTTACTTTTTGTGCCCACAATCCCTTGCATAGTATCTCGATTTTCTACAAACATAACAAGGTCTTTTGGACTTGGTTTTAAACTTCCCTCAATCATTTTTAGGACCAAGAGGTTTCCTTTTCTTCTTGTACGTGTTAGAGTTATCGATATTGTCCATGGCATTGGCTTTGAAGGGCCATCATAAGAACTTTAGATCTTAACTCTTGCTTTTGATTCTTTCTCTATGAGAAGATTTTTTGAAAGTGTTGCAAAGAGAGATTTTTGGAATTGTGAGAAATCTTATTCCTATATCCTTTCCAAGACCCTGAGAGTTTAGCAATAATTGCTCCTACTTGAAAGGATTTGGAAAGTTCGATTTTCACCTCTTTTAATTTGTTGATAATGACTTGTAATCCGTGTACTTGAGGCAACAAAGGAATATTATCTAACATTTTGAAATCAAAGTATTTAGATATAAGAAATTTCTTTGTACCTTCCTCCTTAGCATTTTATTTATTTTCAAGTGTATCCCATAATTCCTTTGTCGAAGTGGTGCTGGTGTATGCTATCGGAAAGGCTCGTTCATAAGGTATGCAAACTAATCAAATCCTTAAAATAGCTCCTACAAACGGCATGAGAAATTTGACACTACTATTATGTCATATGGCTTTACTCATAATTCAGTTGATAAATGTTTGTATATCAAAATATGTGATGATATTATTATATTTGTATGTCTTTATATAGATGATATGTTAGTTATTAGTAATGGCATAGAAAGGATTATAGAAACAAAGATATTTCTATCTTCCATGTTCAAAGTGAAAGATTTTTGACAAGTGGATACTATTCTTGGTATCAAAGTTATGAAGGATGGTGGGGGTTATTCATTAAGCCAATCAAATTATGTTAAGAATGTGATAAATAAGTTCA